GCACTGTCACCATCTGCTGAGCTCCTGAGAGCAGAGACCATTGGAGTACTTTCTCCTGGGTGACTTAGCGGAATGTCACATGCCATTGAAGAAACTGTTACTTTAGAGCCTAAACCCGCAGAATGGATGACGAGGACTGTGTGTCCATACTATTTTAAAATGAGCTGTGGACATAAATATATATATATATATATATCTGTGTGCAGGAAGCGATGCATTGAAAGTGTATAAAGTACTCTCAGTTTGACTATTATAAAACTGTCGCTTTAGTCCAATCATCAGACTTGACATCTTTATATGTTTAAAAAATACCCAGCAGGCATTGACCTGCATAGTACATCTTGTTGTGTTCCTCTCAGCTGCTGCTCTACACATGACACACTTCCTGTCCATTCATAACACTCATAGTGACTTTTGAACAGTGTTACATCACTGCATTTCTGTCTTCGCCCTTTTTACCCCACCCTCTTCTCCATAGCTACACACACACACACACACACACACACACACAACACACACACCACACACACACACACACACACACACACACACACACACACACACACACACACACACACACACACACACACACACACACACACACACACACACACACACACACACACACAACACACACACACACACACACACACCACACACACACACACACACACACACACACACACACACACACACACACCCACACACACACACACACACACACACACACACACACACACACAGCATGACTAAAACTATCACTCATATCATTTTGTTTGTACTTTATCCATCTTGCTGTGCTGTTCCCTCCCTACAATATCATGGCAGCCTCTGGTAAATAAAGAAGGCTTTGTGTGGCGGCTGGATTTCTAAAGCGTGTAGAGCTTCTTCTGATACTCTGGCTCCATCTTGTGTTACAAAAGCGGAGGTGATGGTTCAAATCGGCTACCTGGGGATATGTCTACTGATGTGGTTACATACAGTTGGCTCATGTCAGTGTGCCAAAGTATTTAGTTTGCTTTAGCAGTGACAGATGAAGAAAAATCACTGTAAGTAAAAACATCTAAAGTCAGAGCTGTAGTATTAATATATCCTATCCTATAAGTACATTATTTTTCCTTTGGTGTTGACTTTTCAATATTTAACCAAAAACACTGCCTTTGTCCTCAACCTTCATTTAATTTGTATTATTTAGCATGCTGTTTCATGTACAGCAGACGATATCTGTCTTGACACCAAAATGTATCAATCAATCAATGTTTATTTATATAGCCCAATATCACAAATGTTACATTTGTCTCAGTGGACTTCACAGTTTGTACAGAATATCAGTATGACAATACGACACCCTCTGTCCTTAGACCCTCTGTCCTTAGACCCTCTGTCCTTAGACCCTCACATCGTACAAGGAAAAACTTCCAAAAAAGGAAAAACCCCACAGTTTAAAGGGAAAATGGGAGAAACCTCAGGGAGAGCAACAGAGGAGGGATCCCTCTCCCAGGACGGACAGACGTGCAATAGATGCCGTGTGTAAATCTAAAAGATAATACATTTACAACATAGGTAGACCAAATGTTTGGAAATGCATGTGTCTATAATAATAAGATGAATCTATGAGGATGTCAACAATCCTGTGGGAGCCATCAGGGAAGTAGTATGATGAGTCAGGCAGGACCACAGTGACAGGTTCAGCCACGACTTGAAATCCAGGACTCAGATCAGGACTCAGGACTCAGGATCAGCCACGACTCCGGATCCCAGCATATATAGATACCAAAAAGAAATTTGGGGAAGCTGGGTTAATCGGAACATGAGAGTACACAGGTATAGACAGAGAGAAGGAAGAAGTAAGATGTCCCCCGACAAACTAAGCCTATATCAGCAAAACTAGGGGCTGGATCTAATCAGCCCTAACTATAAGCTTTATCAAAAAGGAAGGTCTTAAGCGCACTCTTAAAAACGGATAGGGTGTCTGCCGCCCGAACACAAACTGGAAGCTGATTCCACAAATGTGGAGCTTGATAAGAAAAGGCTCTGGCTCCCATTGTACTTTTAGAGACTCTAGGAACAACCAACAACCCTGCATTCTTGGAACGCAATGCCCTAGTAGGACAGTAGGGTATAATGAGTTCTTTAAGGTAAGATGGTGCCTGCCCATTAAGGGCTTTGTAGGCGAGAAGAAGAATTTTAAATTCTATCCTGTGTTCTATAGGGAGCCAGTGTAAGGCAGCCAGAACAGGAGTAATGTGGTCCCTTTTCCTAACTCTGGTTAGTACACGAGCTGCAGCATTTTGAATCAGCTGAAGCGACTTGACTGACTTCTTGGTACACCCTGATAATAAAGAGTTACAATAATCCAGCCTTGAAGTAACAAATGCATGGACTAGTTTCTCTGCATCGTTTTGAGGCAAGATATGCCTGATTTTTTTTTATATGTTACTTAGATGAAAAAAGGCGGTCCTTAGCCTCCATGGCTAACTTTGGTTTGCGTGGAAGATTCATCGTTGACACACAAACTGAGAGCGTTCAGATAGATAGGACCTAAACCAGCCTAAAGCAGTTCCCTGTATGCCAACTAAGTGCTCTAGTCTTTGCAATAGGATGTCATGGTCGATAGTATCAGTGCACACTAGTTGTTTATGACTCTACTGTAATACAACTTCACTCCCATGAGCCCACACTGTTAACAACAAAGGATACAGCTCCTTGCAATGAGCATCTTCTAGCCTTACTTGTAAAACAACCATTTTAGCCATAGAGTTGTAATGGAATTAGCCCCAAACATTAGTTAGCATTTTACCACATCTGGTTCCTTTGTCCCAAAGTCACTTTCCTTTCAGCATGTTTTTGGTTATATGCCTGGAAGTAGGTTGATAAGATTTTCACGTATTTGTTTTACAACATGAAAATATGTCAGTTAATACTGCGTGAATGTCCCAAGCTTCTTTGTGTCTTTAAAACAGCAATCGCTTACAAGTGACTTAATGTGACTACTAAATTACATCATCAACATTTAAGTAACATAAACAGCAACATATCATATTGTGTGCAATACTCTAAAATCCAATAGCAAAATCCTATTGGCTTTTTGTCTAGGGAGCCGGGTCGGTCTACAAAAACACATTATCACTCACCACTCTTTTAAATACCCTTTATACAGATCAGTCCTGCTAATGAAGCTGATAGCCTGAAGCCAGCTAACAGAGCTTTTATGTTCATCGAAAGGTTTTCATTCCACAGTAGTAGTTATATTTTCGGTCGCAGCTGTTTTTCATTCATTGCCAGCAGTGTTCCACTTTGCTTCTGCTTATCTCTGCACTGCAAGCTCTACATAACACCTCTTCCTCTCTGCTGCACAGAACCGTTTCAAACAGGAAGACAATGCAACACATTGGAGTGTAGACATGAAGAATGTGACAGTCCTGTGTGTCTACTGAAACAGATAGTAGAGACAGAGATCGATAATATAAGGAAAGTAAAGAAGATATAAGGGTAGTTGGATTTGCTGCAGGTACTGAACGTGGGATTAAACCGTGAAATGATGATTGGACAAAGTATAAAGGTACGTGATTGGACGGAGCATCATAACTCTAGTTTCTGCAGATATTCAGGAAGCTGCAAACCTGTAGGGTTTTCATAACTCCTCATGTGTTGTTAATGTGAACGACGAGCAGCAGCTCCAACCACAACATCCATGTGTCATTGTCTTTAGATATCCAGCTAGGCTGTTAAACATGTGACTGACAGAGATTCAGAGATTTTTTAGTGGGCTGTTGGTTTAAACAAGACGTTTGAAACGGCACCACATTGGGGTTGGATAGCTTGCCATGAATTTGGTTCGGACATTTATTTTACCCTTGGGATGATCAGTAATCCTCTAATGTGATCATCAGTTTAAAATGTTCGACTGGTTAGTGACTCACTACAAGACTACTACCAACATTCATCAGCCTCGTACATTTCTGTTAGTGCTACCTAGCTAAAGTTAGCTTTTTATACACTTAACTATTATGGTTATACGGTGAACCTGCTAAACATCAGTATGTTAGCATTGTCACTGTGAGCATTTAAGCATACTGATGTTAGCCTGGCTCGATATCATTTGACTCACTATAATCCCACAAATGTAATTGCTGTAGGATTTATGTTGTCCCTGCTTATTCAATTTAAACAGACTGACTGTGCACATATTAGCTGTAGCTAGTTGGCAACATACAACTTTCCTTTTTTTTGGGGTTTTTAACTACTTGGAAATGTTTTGTAGTCAAATAATACTCCCTGGGTTAATTGTTCGGGTTATTTTCCCTAAGTGTACCAAATTATAGCAGTTGTATTTGTTTTGTGACTGTGCAGATATTAGTCTTAGCTAGTTAGCAAAATAAACCCTTCTGTTACTCCTTTGACAATGTATTGCATTCTAAAAATACTTCCCTGATTAATTATTTTGTTTGTATATACGTAAGTATACCCAGAAATCCCATCTTTTTTTTAAAGCTTAACATCCAATTTACTGATTACAAATGATCTGTAGTTAATTAGCAACATACATATTTCTCTTGCGTTTTGATGGTAACTACTTTAGATTTTTTTTATTGAGAAAGCCCTCCCCAGATGAGTTATTTGGATATTTTGCCCGTAGTAATGTTTACTTTCAGCTCCACATAAATACAAGATGATTAGCGATTAGATTAGGCACCTCTAATCCCCTGAACATACCACGATGTCAACTTTCAAGTCCTTTTATTTCAGCGTTGCTGACCTACAGCATTAGCAATTATACCCATTGTGTTCTCAATTACATTAACAGACCCTGAGCTGCTTTTTCCTCGACATGGATACACACACAGAAACACACGTGCACACACAGAAGCAGCTGAGATGACAGCAACTGTTTGGCTGTTGATTGGTCTGTGAGGTTGTGGGGGTTCATGGCAGACCTGTCCAGGCTGGAGAGCAGAGGCTCCTATTTTTACCCCTGCTCAACACCCTCGTATCACAACAGCTGTCCCCACAGCTCTTGTCAGTCCGCTGTCAGGAATAGCCGGCCTCTCAGTCCTTCTCCTCGGCTCTGCTCTTTCACTTTCCGCTCTTCACACGGATCTGCTCCACTTTGACCAGCTTTTGATTCGATCGGTGACTTGTGGGAACTATTTTGATACAGAAGCTGTGGAAATACTTCACTAACAGGTAGAACAATGTGTGATCTTTGGTGGAAATAGGTCTTTTTGTGTGGGCCCTCGAGGTCCCACAGCCGGTGGCTCTATTTATAGACTAGAGCTAGCTGAGGGGGCAGCTTAAGTGGTTTTCCAACTGAAACAAGCACTTAACAATTATAGCTTTTGTGCTATGTGACAGTTTCCCTTTTTCTACACGGATGTTAGTCAATAAGAGTGTTATAATCTGAACATAGAAGTGTGAGAAATGTCAGTTTGGCTGGTTTGAAGACGTTGACATGCTCAGTGAGCTCACGTGCCGATGTATGAACTCCTGGGAAATGTAGTTTAGATTTAGTGGACTCTTATGTTGTGGTTTTTTACAGCAAATGTTTTACTTATTGTGTCATATGTTGTGGTGTTCTGATAAGGTCAATATTGTATGTAACTTTGACTATGACGTGTAAAGTTTTAGGGTATGTTTACTTTTAGACCAACTTATTCACACTCACTTTATAAACTCATAGGGTCAGGTGACATTCAGGGATATTTTGTATGGACCAAATTCTATCATGTTGATTCTGTATTATAATGTTGAACCACTGTTGAATAGTATGCTTCCGAGCTGGAAAGGTTTGGTTGCATGCAATGCCACAGTTCTTTGTTTTAAACATTTAACATGATATATTTGACATACATCTTCCATATGTGAATGGTATGACATTAACGCTGTTGTCTCTATTCCAATGAAATGCAAAATTCTCCTGTGTAAATAAAGTACAACTACTAATACCAGACCAGTGCTAAAAAAACTAGAAAACATTCATTGTATATGATTGCAAGTATGTTTGAATAACAATTGTATCCAATACAAATTGTAAACCCAGGACTTTATTTAGAATAAATGTCTGCTGCTAAGAGTTTTTAGGTTTATGATTAGATTTGATTCTGTGAAAAAACAAGAGTTGGGCAAGTTCTTACAGACATTGAAACGATCAAAACAAATGCAATTCAGAAATATTGTTTGAATTGTGCTTGACTTGATATCATAGAGAAACAATACCCTAGTGTGCTCTGATATTTGGTGTCTAATTTGACTAGTTTTGTCAAGGCTTACTCATCTTAGTAGGGTATATAAAATAGATATTTGTGATGTATGACTTCAGCCAGGCCTATGTGCGTTTTCCTCTTTTGTTTTTAGAGCGTTATCTGTCCCACATCGCTACTTTAACACTGTCTGATCCAAAAATAAAGCTGTTAGTCAGTGTTCTAATTCAGTGACCAGATCACTGATAAAAGTCACTGACTGCAGGCCAGACCTGAACACTATCCCATACAGTGAAGGGCTAAAGGCCTACCGTCTGAATCAGATTAAGGGAAACCAGTTTTTTTTTGCACTGTGAAAAGACATGAAATACGTTAGACGAGGCAGAACCCATCTACTTAACCCTGTACAATGTAAACTTCAGGCAGCAGGTTTTTCTGAAGCATTCAGCATGTGACTATTATCCAAAAAATGACAGTCTGTTTTACAGTGCGGTAAATGTATTTTTCTAACAGTGATATAATAGAATGTTGAAGGATTGAGTCACAAACCCAAAAATTAGTTAGCATTTGAGCACTTCCGGATTCCATTGCTAATATAGCTTAAGATATTTTAACGTTCTGTTCTATGACATCAAACAGGTCCGTAAAAACCGTACTGGGGAGCTTTTACCTGTGTTCAAAACTTTGGCTACTTACAGGTGACCAAAAGAGACTACTCAACGTGATCCCACTGAACACGGGTATCATTGTCTGTTTGCCACAGATCTTATTTTCAGCTTTTTGTCAAAGGAGTTTTTGCGAAGCTAAATTGTGTGTTGGCTTCCCCAAATATATCATCACTGCACCACTGTATTCCGTGGTAGAAATTCACATTGGCTTGGTTAAAGCTAATGCTCCTGCTCTTCTTGGGTTCGGAAGCTTAGGATACCTACCTATATTGGCTGCTTAAGGTGCACGACAGAGAAGAGATTTAGCATAAGTTATTATAATTGAAAGAGAAATGTTTGATGTGTGGGCAAACTGAAAAACAAGGAATCTAGAAATAGGATAATGAAAATGTCTCAAAACATTTCAAAATAAGCCTGTACAGTATTTATTTCTGATGTTGCTCTGAAGCTGGATGCATGTATTCAGAACTGTTTTGGCATTTTCTTCTTGCTCATTTAAAAGTTACCAGGGATGCTTATATTTTTGTTCACCATTCATGGTTTCGTGGAGCGTTGTTCACCATTTGGTTATAGTGGGTTGACAATGTTTGATCCTTTTTATTTTTTACAAACCTTTAGTTTTTTTTTTGTGGTGTATTTTTGCTGCTATAATCTTCTGTACCTCCACTACTTCTCCAAGATCCTATTCATCGCTTTGCCATCAACGTGTGGCAACATTGACAATTCAAAGATCTCTGTAGATCCCTGAAGATTGTCGTTTCTATTCACCTGTCTGTGTTCTCACCATGCTTCCTCTCCTAGCTCCCCTTCCCCTCCTCTTCCTCCTGCTCTCATCTCATCCATCACAGCCCATGACAGCAGATCAGCCAACATGGCATTCTCATCTCGCTTTTCCTTCTGGGAACAAAAGGGAAGTCTCACTTGGACATTTCTCAAACTGCATGGTTTTCCGGTGTTTTACACTGTGTATTAACATGTGTGTCTTGAGATACGTGTGGCTTTTGCTTGTGTCACACTAAGATTGTAATAGCTTTCACTCTCATGCCTAAGCACGTTAAAGACGTTTTGATATTGTACCACCTATATCGTTTGCTGGACACCTAACAAGTTCACTTACAATGCCGTGAGTGCATACTTTGTACGCCCTTGAATTAGTAAGATTGACTGCTTGTATTTTGAGAACGTGTTGCAGTGCAAACATAATTTAAATGCAAATAAAACTGAAAATGTGCATGTTGTGACTTTGCACGATTTGTGATGAATAGCCTCATGTAGTGTGAAGGTTTTGATTTAGTTTTCTTTTTATATTAAAATATTTAGATCAAAGAAGATCCAGGAAGCAAAAGTGTAAGTAAATATTGTCCCGTTTGTCTGCTTTAGAGTAGCCATGCAGGAGTTACTGTTAGCATCTGGTCATTTGGTGTTAAGTTTGAACAAATGGCCTTCAGTCAGATCCCCCAGCAAGTGCCATATGTGTGATTTCAGGTTACTTTAAATTATCACTGAGGGGTTAGGCAGTGCGCAGTTAGCTCTTCATTCCTCTTCTTCTTACATTTGTGTAGGGTTATGGTTTGTAACCATGTAGTTTACTAGGCGTTATGCCATTATTTTAAACAATTATTAATGATACATTCAGCTCAAAGAATCACCAATATCTTGATTATTAAAGATATGATGCTTGGATTTTCCTTCATCATTCATGTTCTTATACCACCTCTCTTTCCTCTCTATGAGTAGCCAGACAGTGAGGGGGCACCCAGCCGGGCCAAGTCAGTACCAGCTCTAGACCCTGGCAGGGGGTTATTCCGGGCAACAAGTCCCCCGTCCGTTTCGAATAACGAGTTGTCAACCCGGGTCAGAAGTCCCTCCCCACCTAAAGTCAGGGAACCTGTTAAAGTGCCAGAACGCTTCAAAAGCCCTGAGGCCCCTTCAAAGACGACAGAGCTATTAAGGAGCCCTGAACCACCAAAAGCACATCTGAGCCCAAAGCCAGTTATGAACATTGAGCGAGAGCAAAATGGCATTGTGGGCAAAAGTGTGGTCAACTGTCCAGCCAACGGGAATGTCACCAATGGCAACCAAATGGATCCTACAGAAGACAATGGTCTGACACGTAAGAAAGTAATAAAGGTGATTCGTCGCGTTGTCAGGAAGGTCGTACCAACTGAAGAGGACGAGACCGCCGTGCCAACACAGCCATCAGACAGAGCTCCACCAGCAGCCAAGCCTGCTGCTGAACCAGTTAAAGCAGCGCCAGCTTCAATGTCTAAGGCCCCAGTAATGCCAGCATTCTCTTTTAAACATGACGTCATCAAAACAGAAGAAAAAGACGACATTTCGCGAGGATTGACGAACCTCATGGTAAGAGGCAGGACAAGAGAGCCCCGTCCACGAATAATTAGGGAAGAACGACCAGAGAAAATAGAGTTGAAGCAAATTGAGAAGAAAGAGGAAAATGTAGTTGTGCCAGAGGTAATCAAAGAGGAGAAGAAAGAGGATAAAACCACCCCAAAGCCACAAGAGGTTGATCACAAACCGACAAGCTCTGGTCCAGTTACACATGATGTCAAATCTCCTGTTGCTGTAAACTCCCCCAGCAAGGCTATTTCTTCCAAATCCACTCATTCCAGACCCTTGTCAATGCCACCAATTGTTGGCTTTATCCCATCCCCCAAGCCCTCACCTTTGTCTCCACCTCCTGGCTTTGTACCTGCACACAGATCAACTTCTGCCAGAAAACCTAGTCCTACAAATCCTCCTTCGGCTACAAAACCTAGTCCTACAAATCCTCCTTCTGTCAGAAAACCTAGTCCTACAAATCCTCCTTCGGCTACAAAACCTAGTCCTACAAATCCTCCTTCGGCTACAAAACCTAGTCCTACAAATCCTCCTTCTGTCAGAAAACCTAGTCCTACAAATCCTCCTTCGGCTACAAAACCTAGTCTTACAAATCCTCCTACCACCCAAGTGTCCCAGAAACCTGCCTCCCTCTCTCCTCCACCACGTTTCAGCTCAGCTGCGAAACCCTCTCCAGTTGCAGCTCCTGTCAGCAAAGATCATCTCCGTCCCAGCCCCGGTCCACAGTCTCCACCTCAATCTCTGATTCTCATTCAACAAACTGCTGTCAGTCAACAAGAGGTACACTGTCCACACTTTGCATGTGTGATCAACATTTGGGAAATTGGTGTGGAAGTTGCACGACCGTTTGAAATGCATGTTTGGGATAAAAGAACAGTATGGAGTTTGCCCCATATTTGTGTGTAACCTCGGTGTGTCTTGGTTTTCGAGTTACTTGATGGCCATTGTTGGCAAGCTACGGAAAATGAAATGGAACACTAAATGTGTACCTTTTTTTAGAATAACTACGGAAAAAGTTGTTATTATTTAGAAGACGTTTTATTTTGAACTCCTGGTTTCAATTTGTTTACTGTGCTTTCTGTTCAACCATTAAGCACTTTTCGACAAGAAAACGTATGACCATCAGTTGTGTTGAAGTTTACTGTCCATCCCCAGTGGAAAAGAGACAGTATAGTCAATGTAAAGTTTTGCTCCAAGGGGATAGGGCGGTGGTGGTGAAGTCCATAGGGACTTGGCAACTGGAAGGTCACCAGTTCAAGTCCCGGAAATACCAAGTGCTACCGAGGTGTCCCTGAGCAAGGCACCGTTCCCTAAACTGCTCCCCGGGCGCCGTACATAATGGCAGCCCACTGCTCCTAACACTAGGCTGGGTCAAATGCAGAGAAACCGTTTCGTTACATAGTACTACCTACTTTACTACGTAATGACAATAAGTTGAATCTTAATACACCTTTTTATTTTGAACAATCTTAAGGATTATTTTGTAATACTACCTGTAAGACAAACCACATAAAAAATGCATCTGCTTCTGATATGTCTGACATATTCTGCCAGAGGGGCTTTAGACCTTGGTCTTAGTCATTATTTGTTTCTTGACACTGAAAAAGTCAAGTTTTACAAGGCCTTTATTGTTGGTCACCTTTGCAATGGCTGTTGAGGAGTAGGAGGTATATCTACTTCCTGACAATAATTTCCTATTCCGGTGATTGTTAAGCAGAATGTAATTCAAAAGTCTTGTTTAAAAAGGCAGAGTCCCACCGGATACAGCTCCAAACGCAAGATTTCAGTGGTCTAGACTGAGTTTGAGTTAACCAACAGGAGACCTATGTAGATCCAATTACTACATTCTCAAAGCAAAACCCATGAACATGAACAGATAGTACAACTCTCCAGGAACAGATGGCAGACATACTGTTTTTCCTGGGCTCATGCTGAATTTGTGCAAGACCTGACTGGGTCTCAGCTTACTCCAAAAAACACGCTGCCTCTGACTAGTAAAGTAACTCTAGAAAGGCCTACAACTTTTGCTGTCGAATTGAAATATTATTATTATTATTTGCTGGACAGATCTATCTTCTGGAATGTATTTATGACATGAATTATGGCTCTGTTTTGATGATAAGATAAACACATTAGTTGCATTAGGACTAGGGTTCTTCCCCACAGGCTTAAAGCAGTCAGACCCCTTATGTTTGTCCATATGTCTTTGGTAAATGGATTTGCTTTGCTGGTTTGTTTGCAACTAGTGTGTTTCTAATATCACTCTCTTAACCAGACACTTGTATACTGTATTAGTGTGTGTGGAATGGATTTACCAGTGTGCATGGTGTTGGAAGCACCTTTGAACAACAAGGTATTTTTAAATCAGATACTACAAAAATATGCTTTGTAATGTTGATGACAGGAATGTCCTCTAGGGAAAATGATTCCAGATAGATTTGTAAGAGGAATATTTTTCTCTAATTGTGTGAAGTCATGGGCTCTGCTTCGGCTCTGTCAGTTTGCTTAGTGTCAATGTGTTGCTGCTCTGACCTGTAGGAGGCGCCGCTCAGTCCCACCGAGGAGGCTCAGAGACGTCTGATGAGGATCTTCGGTGCCCCTGTAAATCACCCTGCTGTCTACCTGCACACTATTCTTGTATTGTCTTTGCTTTGTGTCTCTTTGTCTGTCCATTTAATCTTTTACACAACCAAGTAATTTTTTTTTGATTTGAAACAAAAATTAGAATATGGGCTCAGCTTCACCTAATAGAGTCCTAAACCTGGAAATGAGCTAGCATCTTAGCACTTCCATCTTCCCTTCTCTCAGTCACTTTTTTTATATTCGTTTTTCGTTGTGACTGAAATAAGGTCTGTGGTTAAACAAGATTAGGAGAGATTAGGAGGAAATAGAACATAGAATACGTCATTAAATATGTCACTTGTCAATGTCTGAAACTTGTGTCAAAGAAGGCGGTTGCTAATAATGGACTTAATGAGACTGCTAAACTTCAGAATCATCACATCGATCACCAGACCACCTTTAGTTTAGCATTAGTGACGTGAAGTAATGCGTCTGTATAGCCAAACGTTAGCTTTTTACTTCTGTTGATTGCATTTAGGCCTCATAAGTAGGGTTGGGTATCGTTTGAATTTCCGATTCTACTTTTCGATTCCGGTTCTTAACGGTTCTCAATTCCGATTCTTTGAGGGGCAGGGTAAAAAAATGATACATGCTTCTTCCACCAAAAAAATTACATTTATTCGAGAAACTTTTACACAGGTTAGTTTACAGTAATATTCACATTAATCAGTCTGTTTATATTCACTGCTATGTAACTGTAACCTGAGAACCACTGAAGCTACAACAGTGCAACAGTCCAACTTTTAAAGAACAGTTCTTGTTGAGAAAAACAAGCATATCTGCCTTCTCTGGCATACCTGGAAGAAATGTTTGAACATTTTAAAGTAAAATGCTTCAATCTGGTGCACTTTAAGCAGAATTACTAGAGACTAGATCTAGGGGGTACAACTCTAAACACCCATATGAAAAAGATCGGTTTACATTTTAATAATTAAATAAGTATGTGAACATAACCAGTAAACTACCATAGCCAATAACAAGTAACGTATTTTATTTTTGTTGTTCATTCATATCTTATTTTACTATTTTATTTGTGCATATTTTGTTATCTCTCCAGTTTAAAACGATATGTCTGGTTTACTGTCCTATAGTATACATTGGAATGATTTCAAACCTGTTTTATCCCAATAATTATAAAGGAGTGCCTTGGCAATATGTTTACATAAATTGTGATCAAAACGTTTGAGACCCACTGAGATAACTTAGACTAAAGTGAACTATCTAAACACTCAGAGTCCTTTACCTCACTGAGCTGTAGTTATCAGCCTCTCAGTCTGACTGGAGAGGACTCTCCCTCCACATCATTGTAGAAACATCTTCTTCTTCCGTTAGAGCAGCTAGCACCAGATGCTAATAACAACAGCGCGTACCGGTGTACCCTCCCTTTCTCCCTCGCTCGCTTCCACGCTCACTCGCACTTTGGCTGTGCGCTGCGGTTGCCAGATAAGCCAACATCCCTCATTTTCATCACTTACAGCGCCCATCGTACAGGGCAAATGAAAAGTGTAACCGGGATGAAAAGGGTGTAACATTTACTTAATTATGAATGTTGTTACATCAAGGCGAAAATTAGGATGAGCCCCAGGGCGCCTCCACAGATCTGGCGCCCTAGGCGAACATGGTTACGCTGTAGGAAGTGTAGGTACAACGCTACATTTCCCGCCCCGCCGCAGTCATACAGTAGGCTACGGAGAGCGGCGAGAAACATTTCCTCAGGCATCGAAAAGCGGAACCGAAATTCACATTTCTAAATGATGCCGTTGGAATCGAAATGTTGGAACCGGTTCCGAACCGGTTCTCGGTACCCAACCCTACTCATAAGTTATAATAGTGATGTCAACATGTGGAGATTGATTGCTGCTTTGCAAAATGTGTAAGCATCATTAACATATGTTTGCCACAGATCTTATTCTGGAATATTTCAAAATTCTATGGAAAAATCCCATTGCTTTTTGTCGAGGGAGCCCATGCAATGCTAACTTCTGGGTTGGCCTAAAAAAGACATCATCGCTGCACCACTCTATTCCTATTATAGGGTTGTTTTGTAATGTGTTGGCTAGCATAACCTCAGCATCCCTAACTCAAACCATGACTGCGCCCCTAAGTTCTTCACATTACTCACCATGCTTGGTTTATTGGTGTGTATTTACAGAGAGACACAGCAGAGGAAAGTATTGGGAGGTAGTCTCTCGCCCTCCTTGCTGGGGGATTAGGAGCAGAACAGTTGCCCCACCAGTGGTGACTTATGACAGAGTGAAATATGATCCCCTCTGCTGCTGTCCGGGCCCTATCTTTCTTACCCTTACCCTATCTAACTCACTTTCTCTGGCTTTCATCATGCACTTGTATTGCTAACAACCTTTTACTTATCTGAAACCTATGGCTGCTCTCAAAAGGCAGATATCAATCCCAGTTTCCTACACACCAACTCTATAGGGATATCCCAATCTACTATTTTCTGGCCTGGTTCAAAGTACTATAACTGTATGTCTGTTGATATCTAGTCCTGTCCAAATGTTTGAATGGTAGAATGGAAGTTTAACTGGAGAAGGATACTTCCTTAAAGGGGCCCTATTATGCTTTTTGGGGTTTTCCCTTTACTGTAGTGTGTTATACATGCAGTATTAGGAAAATAAAGAATGTTTCAGACATTAAAGCTTGTAAACAGGGAGGCTGTGGCGCAGTGAACTAGTCCGTTGGTGTTTGGATCAGGGGAGCACAGGTTCAAACCCCACTGCATTCAGCATGTTGTTGTGTCCACCCCAAATTGCTCCTGTGGGGATTGTCCACAGTATTGAGAATGTAAGTCGCTTTGGATAAAAGCGTCTAACAAGTAACATGTAATGTAAACATTACATTAGATGCACAAAATACAAATATGAAACCTAGAAATTGGCATAATAGCCTTTTTAAACTTGATAAGAGGAGTCAACTCCAAGAAAGTTCCCAATTGAACAGTGGCGTTAAAGGGGAGGTTTCCCCTCAGGCATGTTAACAAGTTGCTAACAGAATTAATGTCAGACCTGCTGCCCAATAACATGTCATTCTGATAGTTTGGACTTATTTAATCCCCCTAAAACCGTAAAAAAAAAAATGTCATCCCTTTCCATTGTCCATTAACTTTTTCTATGCTTTTATGCACTGCATTTTCTTCATCCAAAAGTCCATGTTGACATTGTCTTCTTCTTCTTTGTCCTGTTTCCCCCCATTCCCTCGATGCCTTTCACACACTGCTTTTGGTGGTTGTCATTGTCTCGCTGTGGTTGCTTTGTGGCAAAGCTGACAGTCAGTGTTCCGGCTTCTGTCCAAGCCCCCGTCCCTGCCGCCCCGCAGAATCAGAGCCCCCTCCCGGGCCCCATCCAGGTACCTCAGCCCTCCAGATTTCCTCTAGGCCTCCTGGCTGGAGTTTGTAATCGTGTGACTTGTCAGAGTGTAAGGACCAGAATACTTCTAACTTTTTCTCATTTCACTCGTCTGCAGTATTTCAAGTCAGAGTCTATATACTGAATAATGGATAACCCTAAAGCTACTTTAGCCAGGGGAAAACGTTTTGAAGGAACTAACTCTAACCTAATATGCCAACAAAACTCACACATTGTTAGTTTAAGAGTATTTAGCATCAGATTCTCCTGTGTGGTTGTGACTGCAAAACAAAGCCACATCTCCTAGTTGAGTCGTAGATTTATGGGTGATAAAGATGCTTAAATATGATATGTTTAGGGCAAAGAAACACAGAGATCAAAATTGACTGTTGTTTATTCCTCCTACCCGTGTTGTCAGCCTAAATATACTTTCTGAACAGTCGCTGAGTCTTTTCGCTCCCCATATTTTACACACACCATAAAGTATGAATGATTCAGCCAGAAGCTTTTCTTGTTTTGCCATGGACATGAGGTGCAATGTAACACACAGTGGCATGACGACATCTCTATTTCCATAACACACCAGGCTGATAAAGGAACCTGCATGGGCTTGGTATCTTTAGTACTGACGGTTGGAATGCCTGAGTATGAATGTTTAGTTATGAACCTACTACTACTTTTGTTGTCCTGCAGTTGCTTTTTGTTCCAGAATCAGTTAACCTTTCCCCAAAGTGTAATAAAGAGGCCCTATTATGCTTTTTTCGGTTTTCCATTTCCTGTAGTGTCTTATAGGTTTTTTGTGCATGTAAATGGTCTGCTAAGGCTAAAATCCCAAAGTTCCCTTCAGAGGGAGTTTCTTTCTCACAGACTCCCCCCCCCTGCCGTAGTTTACTTCCACGACAAAGTGACTTCGCTATGTAACACTCGCGCTTCTATTGGCTAGCGCTCCAACACATTGTACTTGATAGGCTAAGTAGTAGAGGCACACAATACAACTATGAAAATGATCATAATAGGGCCCCTTTAAGCAGAAAGACTATAACGACAGTGAGAGGATTAAGTTGATCCTCACATTGATGATCACATTGAAACTTGATATCTCTCCCACAGGATAAGTATAACAAACCAGTCTTTGTTCAGACAACATGCCGATGATACTTCCATTTCTCTGTGTGCTTATCTATTCATATGTGTGTCGGCAAAACATTTGTTACCCATATATAACTGTGACTTTTGACCTCTTCATGCTGGCCAAATCACCAGGGATCAGTGGAAGAGGACCCTGTGGCCCTCCTTCAGGCATCTCATGCTGCAGCCCAGCAGTCCCAGGTGGGGCCTGCACTGTGCCGAGTCCCACGGTCCCCCCCCCCCCCCACCGGAGAATGTTGTGCTGTGTTGTGCTCTTTCCCTTTGCTTGCTTGTGAAGTGCAGTGTGTCTTGGTCACTCGTCCCATTGAAATGATGTGAACTTTAAGTAGTCACCAAGTTTTACATCATTTTTCTTAAGTTATTTGGGTTTACTTCCACAAGTCTGACTTTTTTTTGGGTTTTTGTTAGTTTGTTTAAATTATTTAAATAAGTCAATGCTAATATAAACCGTCAAGGTACAACAACAGAAAGTTAGGAGACGAGACGAAGACCTCGGAAAAATATAAATATTTCAGCTTAATTAAGGTAAGAGTTCAACAAGGCCATGCACAGGGGCTGCATTTTTTTAAAGTAAGACATGTCATACAACTACATATACAGATCAACCCACGATTTACTATAACACTTTATCATCATTTTTAAACCCAAAAACCATGAAATTCAGTGTTTTGTTCTAGAAATAAATTGTATCTAAAGCCAACATTAGAATGGTACATTTGTGTAATGTGTTCTTTCATATTTACATTTTCTAAGGTCTATTATTTGAGTTTATGGTTGTTGGTCCTTCCTCACTTTTCCCTTTTGTGCTCACTGAAATGTTGTACTCCCTGGTACTTTGTGTTTCCACGGTTACCATTGAACCCCTTCACACACCCCTGAGGCTTGACATGTGTGTGTTTTTGAAGTTCCTCACACAGACAGACAGACACATAAAAACACCACCCTGATGGAGCAGCAGTGCTCAGTGGGAGACTTTTCCATCCACTGTGCCCCACTGCATGTTCATCAAGCTTTTCATCAGCATGTACTGGTTTTGAACTACGAGTGCCGTGGCGATAACAATGCCCTCTTCTCTGCTCTCTGCTGCTATCCACCCATTGATCTCCTTATCCTTTGTGTCCCCCAGGTGAAGACAGAGGAGCAGATCGCAGCCGAGCAGGCCTGGTATGGATCAGAGAAAGTCTGGCTGGTCCACAAAGATGGCTTCTCCCTGGGTGAGACGGATTACTTTTAAAACATTCAAATGCAGGAAATGTTTTCTCGTTTTCCTTGCAATGTGCTTTCTCTCTCTCTTTCCCTTTTTTTTTTTTTTAAACATGTCTCTATTATAAATTGTGCAAAGAATGTTACATTTATACATACACAAGTTTTACATTTCTGAGCTTTCTCTTTTAAAAATGTGGGTGTCTTTAAAAAAAAAAACAGGTAAATAAATGACTGTTTAAAAAAATAAATTCCATATACAATTCTTCAAATAAGTATTGTTAATAATTACAAAGAAGACTGGATTTAAATTGATATTTTTTTCCAAAGTATTTTCATTTTGTTTTCTGAATCATAAAAATAATAAAGCATAATTATTAAACTATTATTATGACATGCCCCTTAGCTGACACTTTTATCCAAAGGGACGTACATACACTTATATAATTACATACACAATACAGGGTTCCTACGTTCATTAAAAACCTGGAAAAGTCATTGAAATTCAAAATGCAAATTCCAGGCCCTGGAAAAGTTATGGAAAACAATATTTTTCCTAAAGTTTTGGAAAAGTCATGGAATTGTAACCAAAGTTGCATCAAATATAATTTATATTTTATTTAATCGCCAAAATAGTAATACTATAACGATAATAAATACTGTATAGTAATGAAACGTAAAATGGCATTTAACTGTTTTCTGGTGAGAGATTTTTACAATCATGCCCTCTAGTCTACAGTGGCTTACTGTAAGCCTACTATTTGATTTGTTTTAGATAGGCACAACATGTTTCATATGCAGACCTTATTTTCCAGCTTACCATGTTAAAATAAATTAATAATTGTTTTTGGTCATGGAAAATGAGGTAAAGGTCATGGAAAAGTCATTGAAAATCATTGGTGAAAAAGTGTATGAACCCTGAAAATAGCGTCGTCCTGCGGGAGTGATTTGGGGTAAGGTATCGGGCCAATTCCAGATGTTTACAGCAATGTCTGGGGATTCAACCACTGACCCTGTGAATGGTAGACCCTGGGATGTTCACCCCTGAGCCACATCCACATACAAAATGCATTCACCAGTTCTGCTTGTGAATTGTCAGCACTTCAGTTATTCTGATCGGGAATTTGGTCTTACTATTCTTCAATTGCAATGTTAATGTCAACCTTTTCTTTGCACTGCTCATTGCAGAATTTGAGTTCAGACACATTTATACTTCAGTTAACGGTATGTTTTTTTTAACCAATCAAAGCTAAACTACTGTTTTCAGACGTGGCAGATTCATTCCCAGATTACACTTGGCCCAATGTGTTCTCGAGAATTTGAGTTGTGTGTATTCATTCCAAGATAGACCATGTCCCGACTCCAGTTTTGCGCTGAACGCACAGATATATGAATTACCATTTCAGTTGTTTTACTGTTGTAAAGAGCAGCTAGGCTTCTTGCCCTTATGCTTCCTTTAATAACTAGAAAAGCCATACATTGTGTCCTCGTCGCCCAAAGTATCTTTATGTTCATGTCCCTTTGCGGTGCCTTTTAAAATGGTTTTCCCCTTAACACCACAACCAAGAATGCATGGTGTTTAACTTCCATACTCCACTGTGCATTGTATCTAGGATCTATCATTTCACATATTTAGGTTCCTTTTTATCTTGTTTTCCAGTCTTCAAAGGGAAAATGTTATATTATTTCCTCCGAACATGAGAAGCTCCGTTTACATCCATGTGGTTATCTGCCTAATTCCCAGTTCTGAACATGGGAATCCTAAACTGTCCGTGCTTCATTTAGCTGAACAGATGAGTTTGAGGACTAACGGTGTTTCCTATCCTTTCTCTACACAGCCACCGTGGTGAAGACAGAAGCTGGCTCCCTGCCAGAGGGCAAGGTGAAAATCAAACTGGAGCATGATGGGACATTACTGGAAGTTGACGAAGACGACATAGAAAAGGTGAATATGAGATGGTAGAGCAAAGTTAGGGATCTTGTGCTTCAGGGTCCAGGTCAACTTGTTGGGGTTCTTTAGCTGTAGTGATCCTGCTTAATACAGGAATACTTAGTAAATCAATCATGTAGAGAATTCATCATAGAAGGTATATGTTTTCTGTATAACATGTTTCACCTTTTGCAAACAGAAGTTAGTTTGGCCATTTGGTAGAAAAGAACCTCAGTTTTCCTCAGTTGCTCTCGACAATCCTCCAGATGAGGGATCTTACTTGAACCCCGACACAGTTTTATCTCTCAATCATATAACAGTACCACTGGACATTAGGCTAGCTCCAATTTTAGCTAATAGGCTGGTGGTGTTGAAACGTATGCATGTGGTTACCCCTCCTTGTTTGCAGGCCAACCCTCCGTCATACAACCGCTCAGAGGACCTGGCCTCCCTGCTGTATCTCAATGAGTCCAGTGTGATGAACTGCCTGAGGCAGCGCTACGGAGGCAACCTCAACCACACCTACGCCGGACCCAACATGGTGGTCATCAACCCCCTGAGCACACCCTCCATGTACTCTGAGAAGGTACGTTTAAGACTAGGGGCAAGGGAAGATGTATTTCTATATGCGGACCAAAGTAAGCATCAGACTGGTTCCCTCTACGAAAAACCAGTAGGATTTTTGCATTTTTTTATTTATTGTTGCAGTATTCACTGTGGCAAAGAAGTTCTATAATACTTACACATTTTGATTATATTATTTTAGCTAAAAGCTAACATTTCTTTCTGCCCCATTAGGTAATGCACATGTTCAAAGGCTGTCGGCGTGAGGACTCTGCACCTCATGTCTACTCCGTGGCCCAGTCTGCCTACCGGAACCTGCTCACCACTCGGCAGGATCAGTCCATCGTACTGCTGGGCAAGTCCGGCAGTGGCAAGACTACCAACTGCCAGCACCTGGTGCAGTACCTGGTCTCCATCGCCGGCAGCACAGGCAAGATCTTCTCTGGTAAGCCTCCAGAGAGAAAAGAGAGCAGTTATCACAACAATCCCATGAATAGATAGAGTTGACTAGTAGAGTGGTACAGTAATCGTGTTTTTTTTGTAGGCCTACCTGGAAGTTAGCATTGCAAGATCTCCCTCGACTAAAACAAATTGGATATTTCCAATAATGCACTAAATATCATCTGTGGCTAGCGTATATTTACGACTGGGGCACATTTTGATCCGCAGAATCATTTCCACATATTAAAGCCACTTTTTTAGTAGTTAAGGCATAAAGGCACTGCCGGAGTTAGATAGCTAACGTTAGGCACATAAAACTACAAAGATAGTGGAGCAGCAGCCATTCATAACATAATATCATTATAAAAACACTTAAAGGTCTCATGTCATGGCCATTTCTACTGATCCATTGTTGAGGTCTACTAAAATAGATTTATATTGTTCAATGTTCCAAACTCACATTGGTTTCTCATACAGCATCTCTGTATAGTATGTGTATTCACTCTCTGTCCTAAACGGCTTGTTGGAGCTCCTGCCCCCCCCTCCCTGTGAGCCCAGTATGCTCTGATTGGTCAGCTTGCCCACTCTGTTCTGATGAGTCCACCACTGTTACAGCTGAACATCAGTGATTATGTGTTACAGTGGTCTTTTCTGTGTTAGAGTTTTACTCGCTACAGGGTGTACTTTGAGGGTTTGTGACTCTGCAGACCGTTTACATGCAGAAAAACTTTCATAACACACAAGGGGACGGGTGATAACCGGAGAAGCATGACATGGGACCTTTAACTTGCTAACTACAGTAGATACAGTGAGTTATTTTCAAGGTATGATCAGTACTTCGTATAATGATTCTTTGCACACTTTATTAGCCTCATGTTGTCTTTAGTCTCCTTCACAGTAAGGTCAGTCCACATGCGGGGACTTTTTGAATCCATTGTCTATTCATGTATGTAATACATAATAGGTTGGGGTCAAGTATGTAATTGGTTGATTTTAGACAAACTGCGTATTATTATTGTTGCTAACTAAAAAAAACACAAGAGGGCGGATGAACCATTTGAAAACAGTTTGCACTGATGTTCCAGAACAAATGTTGAGATCCACTTTTAAGTTTTTTCTTTTTGTGACACAGCTGAGAAGTGGCAAGCAGTCTACACCATCCTGGAGGCTTTTGGCAACAGCTCCACCTCTATGAACACCAACGCCAGCCGCTTCTCCCACGTAGTGTCCCTCGACTTCGACCAGGCTGGGCAGGTGGCCTCTGCCTCCATCCAGGTACCCCCCCCAAACACACATACGCACTCTTGTTATGTTATTTGCAACATCTTTAAAATAAATTGTCGGGATTTATTGAAAGATTTTTGGACCCCATGTTGTGACTGTGCTAACATGTTGGGGGCCCCATAATGTGATAAAGACAAACACACACACTCATCAACTTCTATTTTAGACATATAGTAGAACTGAACCTGTGTTCTCCTCCGGCTCAGACCATGCTGCTGGAGAAACTGAGGGTGAGCAAGCGGCCCGAGGAGGAGTCCACCTTCAACGTCTTTTACTACATGATGGCCGGAGCCGACAGCAGCCTGAGGTGACTCTTTTAGCATTTCTTTTTTTCAACAAAACCTCAGCATTTGAATAGCAATACTATGAAGTCCTTTAGTTTTTCAAGTCATACATATTTTGTGATGTTCAATGACAGTAAAAGGGGTGTTTAAATTGTCCTCCAATTGCAGGAAGATGAGTTTTGATTTGAGCATCACAGCTCATCAGATCAGGTTGCATCAAGTATGTTGTAGTCAGGAGATTGAATGTGTTTTTGATCATAAAATTGAGTCGTAACAATAATACTTATTGGGATTATAATAACAGTTCAAGTTAGAGGTTAAAACATATAAGCACACTTGTGCACTTAACACATACATGATTCCAGAAGATAAATAAGCAAGGTTGAATATTTTTGCGTCACAAATGATAAACCAAATCTGAATACAGGTACGTTGACATCATTTCATTTGCTAATATCTTACCTCTGTGCTCCTCTCTTCAGAACGGAGCTGCACTTTAACCATCTGGCTCAGAACAGTGCTTTTGGGATCCTCCCACAGTCTAAGGTAATTCAAGAGCTTTCTCTTTTGTCTGTTTTATGATTTAATAAATCTTTATCTATTTGAACGAGCTATATACCTGCTAAAACTAATTGTATTTACATAATTCCTACCAAGAAGTGTCAAAGACAAACTTGTGAAACAATTGTTTTAGAACTTCCGTACCTCAATGTCTTGTCATTTGTTGTCAATGTATCCTTTGGGCTCTAACATCTACACAACTTCTGTCCACCTGAAAACCCACCTGTTTCAACTGAATGTGTATATTGATGGTTTATTCCACCTATTGTAAGTTGATTTGGATAAAAGCTAAATGTAATGTAATGTGTGGTAGTAGCTTTTTGCAGCTGCAACAATTGCACTTCCTGTTAGGGATTTCTAAAGTTGGATCCCATTCTCTCCAGCCTGAAGACAAGCAGCGAGCCTCGCAGCAGTTCACCAAGCTGCAGGCGGCCATGAAGGTGCTGGGCATCTCTGGGGAGGAGCAGAAGGCCCTTTGGCTCATCCTGGGGGCCGTTTACCACTTAGGGGCCGCAGGAGCCACTAAAGGTAGGAATCATCATGCATGTGTTAAATCAGAACGGTGTTGACATTCCTCTTACTGCCACTAGGTGTCAGGCTTGACATGTGAATCAAATCGAAATCTGATTATTGCACTACTAGAGTTGCTCCATTACAGAATAAAACACATTTTACATTTGACTTTATGATACAAGTTTAAGTAAACATGTTCAACAAAGAGTCTCGAAGGTTATTTGAAATAATTTCGAGTTAAATATAAATCCGATGTAATTTTTATAAAAACCTTCCTATCAATTGTTTTCAAGTCTAATAATAAACACAGATAATACCTGACAGGAATTTCTTATATTCCTCCAGGACTTTGAACTCTTCCCAAACATCTTGACCAGCACATTTCTTTATAAGTGTGTATTCATGTTTTATGATGAGAAGTGGAGGTGGCTCACCTCTGCTGTGTTGCTTCCTCGGAAGGAAAGCAAAGATGTTCTGTTTCAGGAATAATCAGCACACCTCGTCTGAGCTAAGACCAGTGTCAACATGACAGCGAGGCTAAAAAGAACATGAAGCCGGAACATTTTCAATTTTCAAAGTCTTCAGTGTGTAACTTTCTTCAGCTCCTGGCAGAGGACCATTTAGCATCCAAACCAGGGGTCTGTGGATCCAACAGCGCCATGTCTAACTGCTCAGCTTGGTCTTCTAAAGCATGATGGTGGTGTCACTGTGGTTTACTGCTACTGTGCATGTGTTGCTGCTGCTGTGAACTGATGAATCTCTGAACTGTGTTATCTCTAACCCCCTCTCTCTGCTTGCATGTTTGCATGCTGCGCCCTATCAAACGCAGACGGAGATGAAGGTAATGGAAAAACAACACCCAACTTTTTCACTTTATTTCAGAGGCTTTCTTGTTTGTATTTTATGTGTTAATGCCTTTATCGTTCCTTCCAGGCCTTAAGACATTAGCATTTTTATTGTTTCTGCTCCTCCTCCCTCTCTCCCCTCCTCTCTTCATCTCTCTCCCTTGTGTTTGCTTCATGACGTCTTCCCGCTCCCGGTCTCACCCTTTTCTCTTTTGCGAGATACAAATCACCAGGATCAGAACTTTACTGTCCCTTTTCTAAACTTCTCTCTCTGATGCGTCCCCATGTCGCCCACATTCAACTCCCGAGCTGCTCTCGTATTACAACACACTCTCATAAGCAAAGTAACGCTTGTTTTCACTTCTCTGACACACAACTTGTATTTCCCAGCTTACACTGTGTATCCCCATGAAGTTTGTGTTTGGCAGGGAGCTCCTGTTGATTCTCTGGCTCTGTATCTGAGCTCTATGATTGGCTGGCAGCACAGGCTGTCAGGTTGCCTTGGTTCCATTCAAGACATTGGCTTTGAATTGCCTCCAGACCCAAACCAGTCAATGTATGATCAAGTGTTTCTCCACCAAAAGACTACCGAAATCTGTGAGGCTTAGTTCATTTTCTCCCATAGCTGCAGAAGAAAATATTTGTTTGGTGGATACAATTAGGCAATTAGGAGAAAAAGATTTTAGGAGGCTTTGGCTCAGTGGAATAAATTGGGGGTCTACCAATCGGAGGGTCATTGGTTAAATCCCCTGAAGTCAACAGGTCAAATTATGTTTGGGCAAACTGGTCTATTGGCTACTTGAGTGGAGGTTTTGTCATACAGGAAGTTGCCAATCTGAATGTTAACAATGACCAGCAAAAATAAAAAGGTAGGGCCAATTTCCCAGAATGGTGGTAAAAGCATTTGGATTAGCTCAGATTTTATATTTCTCTGTTAATCTCTGGGAAGCTGTGTCTCAGGGGTTAGATGTTTAAAGGTCCCATGTCATGGCCATTTCTACTGATCATAGTTCCATTGTTGAGGTCTACTAGAATAGATTTATATTGTTCAATTTTCCAAACTCACATTGATTTCTCATACAGCATCTCTGTATAGTATGTGTATTCACTCTCTGTCCTAAACGGCTTGTTGGAGTAGTAGTAGTGCGTAGAATGGGTTAACGCTTTGTATAATGCAACTCAATCACATATTATGTTACAACAGTGTCCAAGCCCAGATAATCAACTGACATCATTTAAGAAATCTTTGCAGACCCCTTTTGGCAGCCATAGAATAGGGATGTGCATCTCGTCACTGAGGCCGATACGATACATTAACGATACATTTGAAGCACCAGGCGATGCGATACGATACGATTCACCCCTGTTGCGATACAGTTCGATTTGATTCAACATTATGCGATACGATGCGATTCAACACGATGCAAAATAATGATACTTCAATATGGTATGACAGAGGATTTAGTTTTATTCCTTAATTTCCTTATATGCAGCAAATCATAAACAAAAAAGTGCTTTACATATTTGGTTCTCTCTACTAGTACTGCACATCCCATCATGCTGCTTCTTTTTTAGCTTAAAAAAACAAAACACTTGGACCTTTCACAAACAGGCCTTTTCACAAGTGTAGTAGTGTTCTCTGTCTCCAGAGTACGTACCATTGTATAACACCTCACAGTTAAACTATTTAAGGCTGCATTGCCTATGATTAACAATGTGCAAATAACAACTACCATAGTGCAATGCCCATACAGCTGCCTGATGTGCTTAACACTCATTCATAGGCTAACTCACCAGTGAGCAGAAAGCAGTGGTTTCTATATGAACAATAAAAAATACAAATAACCTTTCACAAACAGGTATTTCATAACTGCTTACAGTAAGGAAGACATTTAACAATAGAACCGCCAGAGATTTTTTTATACCTAAAACCGCCACCGGGGTCAAATTGACCCGTTATTAGAATGCATTGATTTTCAAGGTAAAAGTATTGCTTTTAAAAAGAAAAATGGTCCTGTGGTATTGGTGTTTTGACAAGCAATGTTGTTAAATTGTTTAGTTTATTAACTTTGTGAGGCGGTTGTTGGGTGAAAAGCAAACAGCTGTTTGCTGCGGAGCGCAGCGTGAGCAGTCTCCCGTGAGCGGGAGCACGCTCCTTCACTACAGACTGTCGCTATCAATATATCTCTCTCTCTCTCTCAATCTATCTCTCAATCTATAAGGAACCGCAGTAGACAAAAGGCGTTGCTATAGCAACACGTCATGTTTGTTTACACGCAAAATCAATAGCGCGAAAAGGGGTGGGGTCAATATGACCCGCTGGGCGGAAATAGGTATAAATGGAATTTTTTTTTTGCCGATTTCTTCAATCCGACTTCATATTGACCATTTTTAACAACATAGGGTGCTACATAACACACTTTCAGGAAAAGTCGCGGACTGGGAGACTTTAATATTTTATTGAGAAAAAGTTACATACAATAAAAAACAGCTCTGGGTCAAATTGACCCGATTGGCGGTTCTAGTGTTATTATTGGCAGTCACCATCTCCCTGATAGAACACCTCACTGAGTGATTGAACTCATATGTCTAACTCTCAGGTTTCTCTTTTCAGCCGCAGACCCCATGTCGCCTCTTTATGTGCGTCGCTAAATTCCTCGCACTACTTGTGTACTTTAAAGCGGCACGGCATCGTTTACAATTTGCGAGCGATTTTTCAAGTTGTCCGTCTTTCTTGAAAAATCCGAAGTGTTGCCAAACGTTTGATTTGTAGGTATTTTTCGGTGCGCTGTGTTTCTCTTTCTCCTCGACTTCCATGTGTGACTGAGACTCTCGGCCTCCGTAGTGCGAAGCAAAGATCAAAGATCGTCTCTGCAGAGTGTTGACAGGATGAGAGGATATTATATGAATGAATCGTTTTTTTACCGATGCAAAGACGCTACAATCGATGCATCGCGAGTTCAACCCACACTGTAGCCGATGTGCACTCTTTCAACCGGTGCACTCGCATTTTTTAACATCCCTACCATAGAAACATTATTCGGCTGTTAAACTGTCTGTATAGATTCCTCAAGACTTGTACATTGATGTTGACAAGCTACATTAGCGGAGTGGACCTTTAAGTGGTAAATGGACTGTATTTATATAGCCTTTCCAGGCTTTACGACCCTTCAGAGCACTTTTAAACATATGAGTTGCAATTCCCTTAGCCACACACATTCATACAGAGGCAAAGGCTGCAGTACAGGGTTCACACACACTTTCTGGCCATCCAGAGCAATTTGAGATCAAGAATCTTCCCAAAGGATACATCGACATGTTGACTGTAAGGGCTTCGGGATTAAGCTACTGAACCTAACCGAACCTCTGTTGCAAAAATCCAAAAGGCTAATGAGAGCAGCCCCACAATTGCAACATAAAGGAAAGTGCAAGAGATATACACCTCCAGTTTGTAAAAAAAGACACAGGATCAGACAAGATGACAACATTTAAATGTCTCCAATTGTCTGTGGGTGTATCCACAGTCATTTGCAGCATGGCTAAAGTGGCTGTAGTTCATATAAAGAGCCACTGACGCATTAGAAACGGTGCCCTGTGTTTCCATGAACTCAAACGCTCATATTGAATAAAAGGAAGCAGTGGAATCTCCGTATAGGAGTCATTTCCCACATCATGCTTATTCGTCGTACTCTAAACATGGATGGCGAGATGATCGGGTAGAAAAAAGAACTAAATGTTATATTGATTGACAAACTCAGCCTCAAGTAGGATTCTTAACACCTTATCTGTCAGTTTTCACACCAATCCCACAGTCAGACAATGTACCACCCACACCTGCTGAGAAAGGCCAGGACTATTCTACTTTTATAGTGTCTTTTCCTCTAGCTTAGAAGAAACAGAAACTACTCAGGTTTTCTGATGCACGTCTATTGTTTCTACTATTCCTGCTTCACCCTCTTGTCTTTCTATAGCTGTCATTTCATTATCCTTCTTCCTCAGGTCCTAATTGCATATCTCTTTGTACTCTAAACCACTTCTACTGTATTTTTAGCTGGACGTAGGCAGTTTGCCCGACATGAATGGGCCCAGAAGGCAGCGTACCTGCTGGGCTGCACCTTGGAGGAGCTGTCCTCCTCCATCTTTAAGCACCAGGCTAAAGGAATGCAGCACTCCACCTCATTCAGAGGGAAAGCAGACGATGGTGGCCAGGGCGACAACTCGGGTAAAAAAAAACAACTGATAAATCTTCTTTTTAGATCATTTGCACACCGACTCTCCACTGAACCTCTGATGTGGTCAGCTGTGGTTGCTCTATCCCTGATAGTGTGTGAGGATCAGTTCATAGAAGCTCATTTGTATAGAGGGTGCAGTGATGTCTTGAACAAAACGTGAAAAGTATTTTAAGCCATACATAATATTTATAAATATCTCCTAAACTACATGTGTAATATATATGTATATATTTTTATTGCACTTTTTAACTGAAGCTTCTTGTGTTTTTATAAATATGTTTTCCCCCTGATATTATTTTTAAGTCACATTAAGCATTAATTAACCAAATAATCTATTTCATACATCTAATTCAAAAACCTAATAAAAAAACTTTGACTTTAGGACGGGGTAACCAGAAATGCTAACCCATTCCCAGGATTTAGCACTCATCCCTGCACGACTCTATTTAGATGTTATACACTGCACAAAGACAACCCAGCGTTTGGTCATTGAGAGTTCTCTGTACTAGAGGGGATTGGGTTATCGCTTGCACCCTTAGAATCATTTAAGTTTAGATAGTCATTCAAAAAGAAGTCCTTAAAGAACCAGAATCCTTACCCTCACAACCACTAGCCCATATTGTTCCATGATAAAATAGAAAAAGTGAAACCCCTACAGCTGTACACTGTTGATGTTCTTCATGTTTGTACTGTTGTTGTCTCTTCTTCTCTCAGGCCCTAAGGTCACAGCTCTGGAGTGTTTGGAAGCCATGGCCTCAGGACTCTACTCCGAGCTCTTCACCCTCGTCATCTCCCTGATTAACAGGTTAGACCTGCAAATATCTTACTATTATGTTTTGGTTTATGTTCATTAAAACAGCTTCTGATTCAAAGTGTCTTTCTTGATAATGAGACAGGATGCAGACTCAGCTCTTTGTCCATTCTTCCTCCCTCTCTTAGTTGTTAAGCCTCTGTTATTTCCCTCTCACCTTCCTCCCTCCTTTTTTATTTATTTGTTTGTTTTAGTGTATAAAAAGCTTCAGTGATTTTTCCAATTTCTTGCTTGTAAGTAGTCAGGAGAAGCTTTCATTCTGGCGTGACTTTGAAAAAAACAATTAGTCTTGGCAGCACAGGTGGCTGTGAAATCAATTTGCTTTTTTTCTTGTTTCCAATCTTTATTTTTTTTGTGCTATTTCCACGTGCCTTTGTCTTAATATACTGAACTGCAGTGCTTGTGTTCCCTCTGCACACACAGTGTAACTCACAGATACTTCTAAACAATTCAGTGTTTCCCCTAGGATGGAGTCATAGCAGCGGTGCTAAGGCACGTGGGTCCAGCATAATGTGAGCGTGGAGCGCGTGGAATTTTTTAGTGTGTGCGCGTGAGAAGTGCGCCCCGTCAATTTGTTTCCATGTGTCTGCATCTACTAGACTATGTGTCTGCCAGCACAAGAAAGAGCCTTTCTTGTGCTGGCAGACACATAGTCTAGTACCAGGGCCGGTTCTAGCCAATTTGCTAGCAACATTTACTTCTTATATCCGTTAGCGCAGCTAGCACCAGATTCGAATAAAAACAGCGCCGGTACCGGTGCGCCCTCTCTCCCTCGCTCTCTCACTCCCATGCTCGCACTTTGGCTTTGAACTGCGGGCGTCTGATAAGCCAACATCCCCCATTTTCATCACTTACAGCGCCCATCGTACAGGGCAAATGAAAAGTGTAACCGGGGTGAAAAGCCCTGCGGCCTGCCCCAGGGTTCTGTTTTAGTCCCCCTTCTTTTTGCCCTGTACATGCTGCCATTGGGCCACTTAATTAGCCAATTTGAAGGTGTCTCGTATCACTGTTACGCAGATGATATCCAGATATACTTCTCCTTCAAACCTGTCAAAATGGAAAAAGTAAACACCCTCATCACATGTCTGTCTGCAATTGAGGAGTGGATGTCAAGCAACTTCCTACAGCTTAATGCATCAAAAACGGAAGTCTTGATCTTGGCGGCTGATAACATCGCCTCTAAGGTAGCAAGCCACCTGGGTTCATTCAGTGGTAACATAAGGGCAAACATAAAAAACCTTGGTGTTACCTTCGATCAGTCTATGCTACTAGACAAACACATAAAACTTCTGACCCGTACCTGTTTTTTCCATCTCAGGAACATTGCCAAGCTCAGGGGGGTTCTATCCAACGCAGAAATGGAGATGGCTATCCATGCCTTTATTTCATCCCGGCTTGATTATTGTAACGGCCCGTCTACACTACAGGCGTCGAATAAGCTTGAAGCTGGGCGTGTCTGAGGCTTGGCGATTTTTTGCGACCAACAACCAATCACATGAATCTCCCGCCCCCGACATACAGAGCAATAGCAATGTTAAAACGAAGTAAACTGGATATAAAATCCCCAAACAGGCGAAAACCTACCAGTTTCATCCACTGTCTCTGCCACCTCCCTCGATGCCTCGCTCCTCCGGTTTGTATCCCGGTAGATGAACAGAGACTGATCATACAGCACCGGGTGATTCACTACCGCTATAATGAATTTTCCCTCCATTTTTTTGAATATGAGGAAATGACCTGCGTAGTCTCTCCCAGCATACACGCGGTTTGATTGGCTAGCGCTTGTACTGGCAGATTTGCATAAACGGGATTTCATTGGCTGACGCCAGCTTCGAGCAAGCATCGAGCCTCAAAAGTTGAACATTGTTCAACTTTTGACTTCGATAGACGCTCGCGATGCTTGCAACGCCTTGCCATGCTACCCACAATGCAGTTCGGCGAAGTTTGAAAATATCCTACGTCACCCCATTCAAATGAATGGGCGAAGCGTTGAAAGCATTTTTTGACGCCTGTAGTGTAGACGGGCCGTAATGCTCTGTTCTCCTGCCTCAACAAAACATCAATACACCGGTTACAACAGGTCCAAAATGCTGCAGCCAGATTACTGACTCGGTCCAAAAAAACATGCCACATCACTCCGATTCTTTCTGCCCTGCACTGGCTCCCTGTCCATCTCAGAACCCAATTCAAAGTACTGGTCTTCACATATAGAGCTGTGCATGGCCAAGCCCCAGCCTACATCAATGACCTTATCCACCCGCACATCACAACCCGGGCCCTGAGGTCCTCTGAGCAAGGCCTCCTAAGGGTGCCCCGAACCAGGCTAAAGACTAAGGGTGACCGTGCCTTTGAGGTGGTGGCCCCAAGGCTTTGGAACAAACTCCCCCAGATAATAAAAACCTCGGCCTCAATAGAGATTTTTAAGGGCCAGTTAAAGACACACCTGTTCCGACAGGACTTTGGGTCGTCGGAGGTGGTGAGTTAGTGGCTGTCTTTTTTATTGGTGTTTTGTCGTATGTTTTATCCTAAGTATTACCTGCTGCTGTTTTATGCCTTTTATTCTACATTTTATAGTTGTACTCTGAATTGTGTCCTGTGGACTGTACTGTAAAGCACTTTGTACATCCGTGTTGAGAAGGGTGCTATATAAATAAAGTTTTACTTACTTACTTACTTACAGCGCCCATCGTACAGGGCAAATGAAAAGTGTAACCGGGGTGAAAAGGGTCTTACATTTACTTAATTATGAATGTTGTTACATCAAGGCCGAAAATTAGGATGAGCGCCAACGGTCAAAAATGTTTTTTCCCCTCCCAGAACTACCAGCGCAGCGCCCCCCAGATCTGGCACCCTAGGCGACTGCCTATGCCAAAAATCGGCCCTGTCTAGTACATATAGTGGCAATGTCTCAAGATTTTGCAAAAATACACCTTTATTGAACATACAGTAACACAAATACTACAAATCCACATAACAAACAATCAAAAATTAAAAAGGGTCGCCACTTATTATTTTAATTAAAAATAAAATAAAAAAGTAAACTTTTTTTTTGTTGTTGAAATGTTTGGGTACCTGGCTGACGCCCCCTAGCAGCGGCGCGCATTTTTCAGCAACGGCGCTGCACCGCCACTATTTGTATATAGGGGAAACACTGCAATTCTTTTTTGACACGTGTGACAGACTTCTGTAGAAATGCTGTGCATCAATTCCTCCTACAGTAGTTGCAGTGTTTCCCCTACCATTGTCTTGGAGCCAACGGAGCCCCCCCTGAAATGCAAGGTGTTTAAAAAAAAAAAAAAGACCCATCTTTCCTGATCAATTTATTGATCCTGCTGGTGTCACCGGCTCTGATGCTGCCCCCCCAGCAGACCGCAGCAAAGAAGAGTGCACTGGACACAACAGACTGGTAGAAGATCTCCAACATCTTGCTGCACACGTGGAAGGATCTCAGCTTCCTCAGTAGCTCATCCCCTTCTTGTACACAGCGTCAGTGTTGATCCTCCAGTTCAGCCCATTGTCTAAGGCTGGAGCCACACAAGGACGATAATGCTAACGGACCGCAATCGTTATCAAAAAAGTCTTCCGTCCACACGTAACAGGCACCAGAAACGTGTCCGTTCACACGAGACCGCTCGAAAGCGCTGGAGATGCTGTAGTACATATGTCAGGCCTGTAGGTGGCGCTGTAGTCCTGCCACAAAAGCAGCGAAGAAGACTTCCTGCGCATGGTTGCCATGGTTGCCCTTCTGTTTATTCTCCGCTGTGGACGCTCTGGCTCTTTTTGTCCCTCCCCGAGGCAAGCGCTGTAAATCTCTCCGGTAGTCCACCAGCAGATGACAAACACCCACCTCTCCGCCTCTTCCAAGGGACGAGGGGACCGTGCGGCAGAGTTTCATTTTTTTTCCGCCGGTCAACATGTCCGTTAAAGTTTAAATCTTCCGGACAAAATTAGAAAAGTGCCGGTCAAAGGTCTTCTTTGTTATTTATTGAGCTTTAAAACAAATAAATAACGACTATATAATAATATAAGAATACAAAACGGAGCCTCTCTTTTCCTCCCACTCTTCTGACAGCCCAGCAGCTGATCTCTGAGCAGGAGAGGTGGGGAGAGACGGGGCTATTGCGTTATCAGGAAATGATCGTACAGGGCGTAAACACAGAGCCGTTTGCCCCCCCAGAGCGTTTCGTTTGCAGATCTACCCAGCTTGGGACCCGTTATCGTTATCGTTTTCTGCGTTTCCATGTCGGCCTTGTGTGGCCGAACCGTTTATCTGATAGTGAACTGTAGCAGATACGACAGTTATCGCCCTGGTGTGGCCGGGGCCTAAGTGCACTCCCAGGTACTTGTAGTCCTCCACGACAGCCACACCCTCTCCTTGAATGCACAGGGGCTGAGGAGACGTCCTCTTCCTCCTGAAATCAATGACCATCGCTCTGGTCTTGGCCACATTCAGAAGCAGATGATTTCCTCCAGTCCACTCTACAAAATCACCCGCCAGCGCTCTGTACTCCTCCTCCCGTCCATCCCTTATACACCCTACTACTGCAGAGTCATCCGAAAACTTCTGCAGGAGGCATTGAGTGGTATTGAACGTCAGAGGTGTATAAGGTGAATAGGAAAGGAGACAGCACAGCACAGTCCCCTGCTGAAACTGCTCTTTTCTCTTTTATATTATTGTTAATAGAGGGGTGCGGGAATGAGTCCTAAAACTGAGAACGAGTTAAAATGAGATAAATGAGAGGTCATTCAGGCCTACAAAGGAAGGACACAGAGATGTCTGGGGTTTACATGGTTTTGGAAATAATTTATTTCCCTTCTTTTCTTCACATTCATCTTCAACCTTAATATTTTCTTTAATGCCCCAGGCCAACTGCCTTCTTTCACGGCATTCTGCTTCATCCTCCCAGTATTATAAACACTCTCTGTGAGTGTCCAGTTTTCTATAAGTCTTTTACTTTAACTTTATTTTTACCCTTCATTCCATCTTCATGTTCTTGTAATTTATTCTTTAGGTTCTTGATTTTTAATTTACTCAAAGAAACTCCCTTTGGAAATCCGAACATTTCCGTCCAGATATTTAATTTAGACAGACTGTTTTCACTATGTTTCGCTCGCATGACATCCACAATCAGACCCTCAGGAGGGTGTACAAGCCCCCTACGCTTTGCTCCCATAACAAAGTCTTTAAGTGTTACCAAAACACCCCGTGTTACCAAAACACTATTTTTCACCCGTCGGTGATGTGATATTTTGTTCCTCAGTACAAATCACACAAAAACTGATCGTAAACCCAGGCTACGATGGATATCCCAAATATCCTACTTTCGAGCAGTCCCTCTCATAAATGTCATGCGTATAATTACGTTTAACTTTAAACAATTTAGATACTGGACATCTCACCGAATATTGAAAGCCTTTTGAGTTCGTTGGATCTCGTGAAGTGAATCGGTTCCACCCCGGCGCTGGTCCTCTCGTCCCGTACGGTTTCTGTCGAGGTAGAGGAGAAACCGAGGATCCTGGAGCGCAACACCAGCGTCCGTAGGTGTCCCCAATCGAACTTGCAGAGATCCTGCCGACAACGCCAATTGTTATGGAAATCTTTGACCCAGTCAATACTGTGGAGAGTACAAGTCAGAGTGATCAAAAATAAATGGTGAAATGGTGGTTATTTATTTGAAGCTTCAAATACAAAAGATACAATACAAAGACACAGGTCTCACAGAGTATAGGATAGTCTGCAGGAGTGTGCGCAGTAGTAATAACATAGCAAGGCTTATATACAGGAAAGGTCGGGAAGCTCAGAAATCTGTCTTCACACGGTCTCATATTGTTATTAGACACCTGTCCTTGAGCTCAGAATAGGGAAGTTCTTGTGAGACTTTGTGTGAAGAAGAGTAGTGTCAACATAGTCTGCCAAATCAGCTCTTTGGCCTTGAAGCTTTTGGGAATAAAACCCCCATTAGAGTATGCAGAGAAAACAGCACATAATAGGAAAATGGCACAGTAGTGTTAGACATGGCCGTATCTACCATTGAGGTCACCGAGGTCCGGACCTCGGTAATATTTTCCGAGCTGTGTATAACAAAACTTGTGAAATAATTAGAGAGAGAGAGAGAAATATGTAATGTGTCTATAACAATAGTCTTGTGATGATGTCATAATAACATACAATTGTATAAAACACAATTTTGCTTACATCTTTGTTCTCTTTTGAGAATCAAACAAAACAGATTTAAAAATAAAGAATGCAAACAAACAAGTGAAATGAACTAAATTGCTGAATTGCTTTTGATTCACTGGCAGGAGCGACAAGTGAAGAGGAGCAAAAAGTGAACAACGAGGGAGAGATTGAACAAAGAGAAAGCGTAGAGGACAGAGAGAGTAATGAACAGGAAGAAGACAGAGAGACTCAAGAAGATGGAAGAGAGGCTGTAGGTTAGCCGCCAGGGCCCTCTGTGAGGGCCTAAGATATTCTACAAAATAATATTTAAAAACATTAAAACAAATTATATATTTTTTAATATATTTTTTTAGTTATATTTTTCATTAGTTTTACCAAAATAACTTGATTTAATTGTATTTAAAATAACATTGCCAAAGAAATAAATCCTTCGAATCTGCCTATTCAGTTTATGTTGGAATGTGAAGAGTTAAATGAAAGAAGCTCGTCTCTGCAAGTTACTGTGAAGAGAGGAGCTGTTGGACGTCCAGGCGGTCCAGCTATGAATTCACAGAGGGCCCCGCTATAGTAACTGAACGAGAGAGTAATGTCAAATGACAGTACAATTGACCAATCATATCTTCCCGCTAAATGGGTGGGTTTTATTATCGAGGACTTTATGACAAGTTCTGCCCGCTGTGAAACGTTTCTTGTTTCCATAGCAACAACAACTTCCTGTCAACAGCGTTAACTCGCCTTCAAAATAAAAGCATGCCAAATTACACTTAAGACATACAACTGCAACAAAAGTAACAAACACAATGCAATATCCTTTTCAATTTCAAAGAACACAAATAGGGTTATTTACAGGTGTTGTTTTGTGTGGTTGTTTTGCGCTTTCATTGATGCGTTTTGCACACCGGGCCGTTGTTTTGATATTCCGCTGAAGTATACTATACGCTGTGACGTAATAACTCGAGGGAAGGGGTGGGGGTCAGAGGGCCTAGGTATAAAAGTCACGGCTCGCCACTGATGTTGACAATGTTTTGTGATCATTTTAGCCTCTTCTGCATGTCCAGATCATTAATAGTAACAATCAACTGATTCTTATTATGTATTACACTTTCAAAATAATTGATGCTGACATTGTCAGCCCACTGACATGGTTTGAAATCGATATATTATCCAATTTGTGACCCCCCATAGGACTTAAAAAGCACCATAACTAGATCATGAAAATCCCAAAAATCTCGGGGGGTATCCCCCAAACTCCCCTAGCATGTTTGGACCTCGGTATTTAGGAAATCCTGGATACGGCCCTGGTGTTAGACAATGCTTTTAGAAGCATTTGGTTTTAGCATATAAGGTAAGATAAAGACATTTCCACTACACTTCTCTTCCAGCTACCCTTGCCTTGTCAATGTTGTTTTTGGTTAAATGCCTAAAATAAGTTTGTCATTAACAGAAGCTTACGAGATTTCCATGTTTTTTTTCCCTCAACATAAAGTATATCAGTAAAACACCCAGCTGGTGTACTGTTTTTGTATCTTAAAAGCAGAAGTTGCCAACATGTGGCTAAATTATTCGGCATCTTTATCTTAGCAGTGGTGATATGAAGGTATGCTGCTGTTATGTATGCATTTCATTAGCTGTTTTATTACAAAATAATCCCATTGCTTTTCCGGGTCTACCAAAAAAACACGTCATCACTGCACCACTCTATAGAATGTGTTTGGATTTTGGACAGACAAAGAGTATTTTTGCAGTACTGTGCAGCGTCCCCGTGTCAAAGCTGCATCACTAAAGCTCCATGATGTCCTTGTGTCCCTCAGGGCTCTGAAGTCCAGTCAGCACTCCCTGTGCTCCCTGCTCATCGTGGACACTCCGGGCTTCCAGAACCCTCGGATCGCTCAGCAGCAGCGCGGCGCCACGTTCGAGGAGCTCTGCCATAACTACACCCAGGAGAGGCTGCAGACCCTGTTCCATGAACGCACCTTTGTCCAGGAGATGGAGAGATACAAGGAGGTGCCGACAGAGCAATCCTGGACAGATCATATCACGATCATACACACATGGAACATTCTTTTTATACCTAAGATTCTCTGCAGTAAATGATTACTTTTAAATGATTTCTTCAACCTCTTTTTATGTACCTCTCATCTGTGGTGGTGTCTACCCCTGCAGATTTATAGTTTTGCTTTTGAAAAGTGTGCATAATCCAAATACAGTTGAGGACAGTGGGAAAGTAAACCTTTACTTTTCCACCTTGAGAATCTCTGGATAATTCAAACTGTTCTCGGACTTGAAAACAATGAAAACTGTTCACATCAAAGTCTTTGAACATTCCTGGACTCCATATACATACATTTTTCGGGGTATAATCTAAAATCTCAGGGACGGTTATCAAAAACGATATGCATGGATAGAAACCACCAGAGCTTACTGAGAAGAGCTCATAAGAAAACAAATCATTCATTGTGCTAAATACAAACATACTCTCACACAACCCAATCTACTGTCTTGTTAAAGCTGATTTCAAATTTAATTTTTGATTTATTGATGATTTCATTTCCTGCTGGTAATCTCCTGTAGGTTACTAACCATCCGCCTTTATCCCTCCTGCATCTAGGAAAACATAGAACTTGCTTTAGATGACATAGAGTCCAGTACCTCACTGTCTGTAGCGGCTATTGACCAAGCCTCCACCCAAGCTCTGGTAAGCACAAGAAACACTCCTCCTGCTGTATCACACCTCTCTTTGCATGTGACCTCACTGTGTTGTGTTCCCACCTGAAACATGGCAGGAGAATGTCCTGGACCCATTTACCTAAACACTCAGGACATTAGAATATAACACGATAGAAACGCAGGCACACTGATGATGTAAGTTAAAGATTGTATTGATGAAGAACGCTTTAAAAGACAGAACACTTGCAAGAAGTCAATCTGAAACATGTTTGAAGGAGGAGAGCATCTTATATCACATATTAAAGAGGCCCTATTATACATTTGAAGGTGTTCCCTTTCCTGTAGTGTGACATGTAGGTTTTAGTGCATGTAAATCTGCAAAGGCTAAAATCCCAAAGTTCCCTCCAGAGGGAGTTTCTCTCTCCTGCCTGAAATGCCTTGATTCGACTACTTTGTTTAGTTCCGTAACATTGTGACATCACTATATAACACTCACACCTCTATTGGCTAGCGCTCCAACACATTGTAATGTACGTGATAGGCTAAGCATTGTGACCATTCACAACAGAGCCTGCCAGCTAACCAATCAGAGCAGACTGGGCTCTGGTTTGAAAAGAGGTGCGGCAGCACAGGCAGTATGAGAAAAATAAAGCGCTTTTTGAACTTTAAAGCATGGAAACATGTCACAGTAGAGACACTACATACAATTATTAACCTGAAATGTGCATAATATGGCCCCATTCATATTACAATGGCATGTTTTTAGGACCATTAAAGTCATTCTTGAGCAGGAAACACTGCTAGCAGAAAGAAAGACAGTCCTGGTTCAAAGGTTTCCCTCTATGAATAAATGATTAAATCAACAGCAGCGCTTACAACTATTGATTATATCATCAGCAAAGATTACTTCTACAAGATCATGTGGTGAGCTCTGTAGAAGTTGGTGTTTTTCCTTTCACATGCCAGGTCTTTACAACTTGCGCAATTGTGTCAAATGAAAACTCCTAACAAAAGACAAAAGCAGACTATTATCATTTATCATTAAAACAATTAGCTTGGTTCTCTGTGATTGTGGCTAACTTGCTAACATTTCCTTTTGGAATACATCAGCAATATTAATTGGAATCAGGTTGGTGGTTTGTTTCCTTCTTGTTGGCCCCCTCTTCAATGGGCGTTGTACTGCAGAGCCCAATCAATTATTATTAGTGGTACAAATGTGTGTGCTGCCAATCCAAAGCATTGATGTGTATTGGCTTGAGCAAGTGGGATACAAACGCGTTTCTAAAAGACTTGGAATAGATTTGCACTGGAGTTGTAAAAGCAAGGTTAAATGTGTCACTGTGTACATACATGTGAAGTGGAAACCTCATGAGACTGAGCGGGGAAAGCTCTGATCATGAAGCGTTTTATTAGCAGCGTCGGCAACAAAGAGATAATAAGCATAGAATTGTAGAGAGACTGGAACTGTTAACACAGTCAGAGCTAACATTCGCATTCACACATAAAGTAGACTAATTTATTTATACCAACCAAACCTCCATTAAAGAAATGCGGTGATCAGGAAACGGATGATTTGGGAAGACACAATGATGTCACACTGTTAGTGGAGGCGAAGAATAGCCTTATCATGGACTTTTGTGTCTACAAGGGTTACCTCACCTCAACAGATTTGTTATTTTGAGCCATAATCAATGTTTTTGCCTAAAACAAACTAAACCCTAATCATAGCGTTGGTTTGAGAGGAAGTGATAATATGAAAATGTGATGGTTCCTTAACTTTAAGTGGTTGTTTCTAGCCTTTTAACTTTTGCGACAAACCTAACCAATCTTTTATCATAGTGGCGGAAGATCAGGAAATCCTATGAATAATCTTTGGGTTTGTACGGAAGTAAGAAACAAGATTTTCCAGTCAAAGGGGTTAGGGTTTTGTAGCCGTGTTGGCGGCTAGCTCTGTGGATGGCCATGTTGGTCGGTCAGTTGGTCGGTCGGTTGGTCGGTCGGTTAGTTGGTTGGTCAGTTGGTCGGTTAGTTGGTCGGTCAGTTGGTCAGTCGGTCGGTAAGTCGGTCAGTCGGTCGGTTAGTTGGTTGGTCAGTTGGTCGGTCGGTCGGTCAGTCAGTCAGTCGGTCGGTCGGACGGTCGGTCGGTCAGTTGGTTGGTCGGTCAGTTGGTCGGTTAATTGGTTGGTCAGTTAGTCCACCGTTGAGATCTGAAATATTTCATCAACCATTGGATGGATAACCATGCCATTCGATACAGATACTGATGGTCCCAAGAAGATAAACCCCAGAGACTTTGAGGATCCCCTGATCTTTCCTAAAGCACAAGCAGTCGGTCAAAGTTTCCTGAAAATGCTCTAATCTAGAATGGCACACATATTAAGATGTATACTAATGTCTTCTCCTCTTACGCCACGTGACTTTGAATCAACTCAAACACTATTAGATGGGTGAATTAAAATGTTCTTCAGACATCGATGTTCCCCTCTGCTGATTGCTTAACTTTTCCTGTAGCGCCTCTATAAGGTCACTATCAGGCCAGAACTTGATTTCTGACCAAATACCTACAACGAGACTATTAGCCTTCCCATCAGCTTCGGCTTTATCTTTGTTCTTGTTTTCAAATAAAGCTCACCTTGGCGTATAGCGTTTTAAAAGGTGTTACAACATTATATAGCACATTGTCTCATGATCCTAAGTGATAAATGAAGTTTTAGATACACATTTGCCATATCTTTAGGATTTTTATAATCCAAGTGAAGTAGGAAGTGCAACAAGTAGGGGACATTTCTGAGTTTCTGTATCCATGACAGGTGCGCACGCTGGCCAGGACAGATGAGGCTCGAGGCCTGCTGTGGCTGATGGAGGAGGAGGCCGTGCAGCCTGGAGGTACAGAGGAAACCATGCTGGAGAGACTCTTCAGCTACTACGGCTCTGCGCAGGGAGAAAACAAGGGTGAGATATCAACCTGTCACTGCCTGTTAAAGCAATCAACAGTAGCTTCCTGTAAACAGCACTGATCATACTCCTGACATCATTGGGATCATGGAAGTATTCCTTTTCTGTTGCAGGAGCCAGTCTTCTGCTGCGAGGAGAGAAGCCCCACCTCTTCCTGTTGGGCCACAGCCACGGGACCGACTGGGTGGAGTACAACGCTCAGGGCTGGCTGAGCCACGCCAAGCACAACCCCGCCGCCCAGAACGCTGCCGCGCTGCTGCAGGACTCCCAGAAGTACGCACACACACACAGATACCACACATAAAGAACGCTTAAATGATAAGCCCCTTATAATGAATCGTCTAATTTTCACAAAACTACAAATACAAAACTAAAATATACTTACACAGACAAAAGCTCAACAATGCCTAGCAACTACCATAACAGCTGACGCCAACCCGCCCAAAAGGAAAACATATATTTACATATAGACACACATATAATCACACAGCTATACAGTATGCACATGAGTAAGCGTCAACACATTCAGAAAGTGATGGGGAAAAAACTGTTTTGATTCTAATTGAATTTCAAGTGAAAACAGATGGTTTGAAGCAATAAATTGCAATGATAAGTTATAGTTAACTTGTTAAGTTGTTCAATAGAAGGGTGCTTCGCCAAATTCCTTTTTTTTATGCTTCAGGCTACACTTTCCTAGAAAACACTGTTATTCTGTAATACCAATACAGCCTGACCAGCTTTGTAAAAATAATCTCTCTCTTTATTTGCAAATAGTTATTTTCTGCTTTTATCATGTTCTTAATGTTATATGAATAACCTTTAATATGTACTTGCAAATAGCAACTTACTCTTATGAAATATAGTCCTCCAGTATACACTATAATTCATCTACACTTTGAGAGCAGCAGGCTTCAGAGTGAGCCAAATGATGCAGGGAGCGTCCCACAGCCTGCAGAATGTGCCACTAAAGCAGTCACAGTACTCCCCTGTGTAATGTAGAGGAGGACAAATATTATGTTAAGACATGTGTCCACATAGTGCCTTTTTCTGAGCAGCAGCGCAGTTTTTTCTTTTGTTTTAAATGGAGAGCACATTTTGCCGCATGCAGCTGCACCCAGTGTCTTTTTCTGAGTGCTCCAATGTATTTGTGGGGTCCCCTCGAGTTGAAAATATAAAAAATGTTCAGTAAAGTACTGGTGACGTCACTGAGAAGCTTGTTTTCGCCCGTGTCTTTTGGATGGAAACTATTATAATAAAAAATGCATTAGTTTGAGCCGATAAGCCTGACGGACACTGGATTGTTACTGCTGATGAGTATAAAAATGGTATCACCGTTTGTGAATCGTCTTCAGCTCTAGGTCTGTCAGACTGAGCAGTGAAGTTAATTCATACAAAAAGTAAGGGCAGGCATATTTTAATTGGTTAAAAAGGTAAAAAAACAAAACAATGTCAAACTAAAATTGAGTGGCCCAAAAAGATAAAGAAAAGACAAGACGCCAATCTAGCCTGTCCCGTAAAAGCATAAATATTTTGTCAAGATATTGTTTTCATAAAAACATATAAAAAACAATGTGAGGAGTCTTTGCCAGTGTCTTTCTGCCCATTTGGACACAGGGCCTTGGTCATTTGCATGCATACGGATGAAACCTATCCTTGTGTCCCCACAGGAAGAACATCAGCGGGCTGTTTATGGGCCGGGCCAGCGGGGCCACGGTGCTGTCCGGCTCCATCGCCGGGCTGGAGGGCAGCTCCCAGCTCGCCCTGCGGCGGGCCACCAGCATGAGGAAGACCTTCACCACGGGGGTGGCGGCTGTCAAGAAGAAGAGCCTGTGTATCCAGGTCAAACTCCAAGTGGTAGGTGGATGAGACGGGGATTAAACACTGAGACTTCCCCCCAGAAAAACGACTGGGCCTACTTTCATGAATGTGGTGCTGTGGAGAACTGCATTTATAACATTTTCCTTAGCTTTAGGTGGGTCTTTCTGTACCTTTAGGGCGGGACAACTTACCTCGTGATCTGTTTATTAGCACATAGAGCTTCTTTGTGACATCAGGTATTTCCCAGCATAGCTCTACTCAAATGAAACCTGATTAAAGGCTAAATCAGCCCTCAGAACAACATTGATTTGCTTCATTTAACAATATACAACTTCTTCTACTTAGATCTTTTATTTTTTAATTCAATATTAATGTATACAGTGAAGGTACAAGGATACAGAGCTAGTTTAAGTGGGAGGACAGAAATCCACTTGTGAGTTTCATATCATTGTATACCTCTAATCGTATGCCAAAATACCTACAATGTTATGATCAATACATTTCAGAACGTATAATATAAGACTATAAAAATAAATGCATGATTTTTATTTTCAAGGTAAGAATTTAACAAAGTCCTGTATGGGGCTTAAATAATACAGTACCAGAAAATGAATAGAAAGATGGAAAAGATGTGATACAAGTACATTTATAGTTCACATTTTCCTGTACTATTATAATATCATCATTTTAAAGCTCAATCAAAAACCATTAAACTCAGCTTTTGTTCTACAAATACATTATAATTAGGGCCGGGACTCGATTAAAAAAATTAATCTAATTAATTAGAGGCTTTGTAATTAATTAATCGAAATTAATCGCATTTTTAATCACATGTAAATATTTGACCTGAGAACAGTGAGAAGCAATTTTTTTCACATGGATTTTAGTATACCATTAGGCGCATTCACACCGCAGTACTTTTCCCACAAAGGTTCATGAGAACTCTTTGAACCTGGGGGTGGATTAGGCAAATGAAGCCGCTGACGTCACTTCTTCTTCTTCTGCTTTGGGTTTACTGGCAGGCCGCAAACCACTTCACGGCGTATACTGCCGCCCAAAGTCCCCGGAGTTGGGGACTGGCTTTAGTAGAAGCTGCTGGGACTCCCAGCAGCTTCTACTGAAGCCTTCCGAGTAAATCGCCAGAACGCCGACACCTCCTCATCTCCACCGCTCCCATGTTTTATTTTGTGTTGCCATAAGTTAGTCTCTCTGCGTTTCTGCGCTGGGCTAATGCTAATGCTAATAATGCTAATGCGAGGATATGGCGACAATGGCGGCTTCACAAAACTTTTTGGGAGTTTTACGGGGCGTGGTTTGCAATCCGCCCAGCCAATCAGACATATAGCTCTCTTCTCACAAGAGAGCCGTACGAAAGTCCCTGCTCTCTAGCAGGGACTTTCGTGGGGTGAACTAATTTTAGTACCGGCTCGTTTTGGTGTGAACACGATAAAAGAGGCTAACGTCCACGCTAGCTTCCACGCTAGCTGCTATATGTTTTGCATTGAGGTGATACTTGAGGCTTGATGTGCTGCGGTGATATGCGAATTTCTTTTTGCATAATTTGCACACAACCGTGCTCTTATCGACGCTTCCATCCGTCCGTTTTTTAAAACAACATTTCCCACTGTTGTTCACTGTGGTTTGTTGTTGTCTGAAGTCATGAACGTTAGTTGGTGCTCCAGTATAATCGGTACGCCTGAAACTCATCCAGTGAGAAACGTTCCGTGGTGCAAAAATAAGTGCGATTAAAATGCGTTAATTTTTTTAACGCGTTAATTTTTGTGTAATTAATTAATCTTAATTAACGCGTTAAAGTCCCGGCCCTAATTATAATACATTTAACTAAAGAGAGTCGATATTGGAATAGTTTTTTTACATAGTTTTTTGTAATCTGTTATTAGATGTGACCTATCACCAAGCAGAGTGTGATGACTGACTCCTCCTCTCTGTTGTCAGGACGCTCTGATCGACATGGTGCGTCGCTCCAGGGTTCACTTCGTCCACTGCCTGCTGCCCAGAGCCGAGGCGGTGGGTGGTGGAGGTGAGCCCCGCGTGACGCACGGAGAGAGCCCTGACTCGGGCCTCATGACTCTGGACGTGGGCCTCCTGAGAGCCCAGCTCCGAGGGTCCAAGCTGCTGGACGCACTGCGCATCTACAGACAAGGTATGGAAGTCAAAATGTGCCATGTCCACTGTATTCTTTTTTGGAAACGCCGCGAAGATCTAATGGATCCATCTTTTTTTATATTAGTTCACATTATCATCTCACGGGGAAAAAGACATAGAGATAGAATAGGAGTAAAACAGACATTTTTATTAATATCAACATAGCAGCATAGTCAGAGTGGCGGCCATTTTCATCCATGTACTGTTGCAATTGCATTAACCCTAACTTCCATATTATTAACCAACTTGCGTCACCTAAACCGATTGTGGTTTTGCAAAAATGACAAAAACAAGCAGTGGAGTAGTACCATTAGGAAGCATAGAGAGTAAATAAAGAAACATTAATAATAAAACAAAAATAATTAATGCTTCATCCAGATTTCTAATAGCCTGGAAAGAAAATAGCTCTTCTCTCCTTCTGAGGTCAATAAATTATGAACTCAACACTTTCTAAATGGGCTTACCCATTGTTGTTGATTCTGACCTGGGGTCGATCTTCCCATTTCATATCTGACTCTTTAAAACTTCTTTATCTGAAATAAAACGTTCTTCCATTCTTACTGCTAGTGCCTGTCTAAGAACTTGAGAAAGCTTACAAACTGTGCCACAAGCGTATTGTTCAGATTTGAGTTTTTGCGCTGTACTTGAAGATAAAGATTACCCTTTGACACGGTGTCGGCTGTCCACTTGCTGCAGGCGCTCTTCTAACCTTGGTGTTTTTGTGCCCCCCCCCCCCCCCCCCCTCTGTCCTACCTCCTCCCTCGCTGCAGGGTACCCGGACCACATGGTGTTCTCTGAGTTCCGCCGGCGCTTTGATGTCCTGGCACCACATCTGACCAAGAAGCACGGCCGCCACTACATCGTCACAGACGAGAAGAGGGTGAGTGTTAAGGGGGGTTAGCCACTGCTGATATGATGAAAACACTTGTGGATGCTGTCGTGGAACTCTCCTAGATATCTCAGGAAAATCTGAGGGATGAACAGAACCCAGGTTATGATCAATGTGACTTCAAAAACAACTAAAATGTTAATGAAATAAGAAAGAAACTTCACATACATGTCTCTTAGTTGTCCTATTAGATCTTTATATACAGCAAAAAAAAATTAAGAGACCACTCAAATGTTGTCTTGAATCTCAATCTCTACATGTATGGCAGCCATTCCATTCCTGTGTCTGTAGAATTCCAACACAGAAATATTATCAGTAGTTTATAGAATAATATATATTTTTTTAATTTTACTCAAACTAATACCTATAAATAGTAAACCCAGAGAAACTGATAATGTTTCGGTTGTCTCTTTTACAGTACATTACATTACATTGCATTTAGCTGACGCTTTTAGTCTAGGCGTGAGATGACGAGAGCCTGGGCTCTTAATTCTTTCCAGAGCTGTATATTGATAAAGTTAAACGTAATGTATATATACAATGTTTTTTCTTGCATACAGTAGAGTACAAAGAGTACAATGTAATAGTGACTATCCCCATTAGTGGAAATGGAAGACGCTGGAACAACTGAAGTAATTGTGGAAAACAACATTAGTAGCTAGCTAGCTAGCTAGCTACTAATGGTAGCTAGCTAGCTAGCTAGCTAACGATGAGCTAGCAATATCTCCCAACATCTCTTAAAGTTGCCATATCATGCCATAAACGCATTAGCATATTGGTAACATGATTACAGAAAACACAAAAACAAGACATGGAGGTATTGTTATTGGCTCTAGTTGTGACACCATTTCCCTGTTGGTTGTTTTTGATACCCTGCTATGTTTAGTATTTTGCTAATCCTTCTTCTGAGAATCGTCAGTTGGTATGAATTTCTAAAAGAATAGCAAGAGTCAACAATGTATTCTTTCACTAATTAGAAAGCAATTTTTCCATTAAAAAAACAATCACATTTCAAGAGCCTCTCCACCATTTTCCCACATAAAGGTCAGCTTATACGTTTATCTCCAATTTATTAGCCTTTAAAACTAATTGTGCTTAGGAGCTTTGTCCTACGATAATTAAACTAACCATGATGGTGTCAGAATTTGAGGAAGGTTTAAAGTCTGTAGATTTAATATTTCTCTCGCTGCCCTCTACACTCTCCTCTCCCGGTGTGAACAGAATCCCTTCATTCCTCCTCTCTCCCCTGTCCTCTTCCTGTTCCAAGAGCGCTCTTGTGTGTAATTAATTATGATTGCATAGGCTGGCAGCATACGGCTACTGTACTGATTAATTACCGGCAGTGGGAAGAGCTCTTTCTTTCCTCCCCATCTCTCCCCTCTCCCTCCCCCATCCCAATCCCTTGTCTTTTTCCACTTTTCTCCCCCTGCCTCATTATCTTTCCATTCCTTTTGTATAGGAGGCAGAACAGTTTAGGAACATCCCTGAGCATATGATTAATGTCTTCTCTACATTCTGTTCAGGCAGTATAAAGCAGCTTTGCACAAAGGCGTGATTAGCCTTTATGAGGGGGAGGTGGGGCCGCTGCAGGAAAAAAACATCTCCCTACATTAAGTCTTTCCGTAGCTCACGTGCACAAATGTCTCCTCCTAAAAGTTAAAGAATCTTTTTTGCGAATTTCAAATCCGATTGTCTTGTTGGGATAAGTGTGGAACACGAAAAGAATGCTGTCAACGGGGAAGATTTAACTGGATTAAATATCAAATCAAGCTCTCCGTCTCTTTACCACACCACAAGACACTGACAGTAAAGTGGCTCACCATATTCCTTGGAGATGAGCTTACAGCGGATAGCCCACTCAGAAATAACTAATGGTACCCGGCGGAGAAGAAAGAAAGCAAGGAAGATGGATGAAAGAAGGCAGTCTGAGACAGAGAAGGCCGTATCATTGGAGGAATAATATGAAGGAATTGGTTTTCAGAGAAAGACAAAGTCACAGAAAGAGAATAACAGTTTGAGCAAACGCTGTATTTCTGTCGGTTCCTGTCAACACGGCGTGTTGTAGCCATGATGTTAGTAGCCAGATGGTACCTGCCAAAACCGTACTGTATATAATATCATCTTGTCATACTATTGTCCCTGTTTCAGTGGAGAGTTTTAGTGGTCTACATGCTGAAGAAGAACTTGTAGAGTTTGGTACAGCACAGCTCCTAATAATGTCAGTCACATGCTGTGTCTCAGTTTGAACACTTCTCTTAGAACACTGCATGTCATACACTTGCTCCAAATGTGAATTTAGACCATGTGTTGTCTGAAATCGCACAAGGCGGCTGCGCCCTCACCAGAAGTGACGACTGCTGCTGCTGTTAGCTAGCCAGTTAGCAAACGTATCATTAGCTGTGGTAAATCGTTACAGAATTACACCCAATTCAATTAAGGGTGGCTTCTTTTTTGGCACCATAATAGAGGATTACCACAATCACATGGTCTTCGAACTTTCATCACGTATCCAACTTGGAGATCATGGCGTGTGAGATGTTTCCATAGTTCCAACAAGCCCCCAGGAAGTGTGCTGGCCGTTGAAGCAAATGTTCGTAGAGACCAAATGGTAGTTCTACAACTTCCTTGTCCATCTTTGACTTCGTTGGGCCCAAAAATAAAAAAATTCCATTTGGAAACGGAGATCTGTTAATCAGCAAAAACTCAGGTTGGCATGCTACCACTGTATATGGTCTTAACAGTGCCCCCACCTCCAACGCTGTATCCAGTTCTCTTTGTACATCCAAGAGTTCCACCATAGATTTTTGACAGTAATGGGAACACCGTCCTGGTACTCAGTGCCATTTGCCATACTTCTCATTGGGACGCACTCAAAACAACAAATGTATCACAAGAACACAATTTGAGACACATCAATATAGTCAATCCAAGTTTGGATTTGGGAGTGAGATGTTTAAAAAAACAAAACAAAGAGGAATGGTTTATAAATACAGAATTATATCTGTACCTTGGGTCAAAAATGTTGAATCACTTCACTATGATGTAACTTGACCCTATGTATGCTAAAAGTCAACACTTTTTTAAACTCCACTTCCCAATGTCATAATTCAGACTTTCTGGTTAATAATTTAGGTTAAGTTCCCTTCTTATTGATGTTTCTGACCTTTCTTTAACGCTAGCATCAGGACAACACTTTCACTTAACAATTACATTTATCGGATAAACAAATATTAGGTTTCTTTAGACTCTAGATCCTTAACTCCAGCATCAGCTGAACAACAACCCACCCTGTGTGCAGTTTGTCTTCTAAAGGTTGAATTGACTCGACGGATGAAACCTGACATAAAGGGACCTGAGAAACTCCTCTGTCTGACTTGTTTTCCCCCTGGAGGTAGATCGGGGGGAGCAGTGTGTGTTTGTGTTAGCTGGTGTTATCGGGGGAGTGATGTTTGTTACAATAACACCATGCTAGCACGCTTTGTGCCACCAGCTCATGCCATGGCTCCGAGGTAGAGCCTGGAACAAAGCTGCTTTTTTTGTGTCTCTGACTGTTTGTTCTGCTGGTTTACAGGCGGTGGAGGAGCTGCTGGAGTCCTTGGACCTGGAGAAGAGCAGCCACCACATGGGGCTGAGCCGGGTGAGTGCAGTCACATCACACACACCTTTCATTAGACATAAGAGGACCAAACACTCCTTAACCCTCCTGTTATCCTCAGATTTACTTTACACCCTTTATCCTCTGTGGTCAATTTGACCCCAGTAGTTTAAAACTCAAGACAATGATCATATTCCACATTTTAACCAAAATGTATGTCTCTGGTGCTTCAGGTATCTTAGTTGACTACCTAAATAACCATTTAAATAAAACATTACCCCAACCTTCCCCCCTACAGACCCCTTTATGTATCCAGAATTCCTATTATGTGACTATCGAAAAATATATAAATCACCATAAAATCTCACTGACTGAAATAAAATGTTAAAGTAAGATCTTTCTGATGTTGTTAAAGGACCAATAACTAAAGCAGAGGGTAGTTTTTATTTTTTATAATGACACATTTGAATGTAAAGGCCCCTACACACCAGAGGTGGGAGTAAGTCCTGCATGTGCAGGTCATGAGCAAGTCTCAAGTCTTGACCTACAAGTATCAAGCGAGTCCCAAGTCACTGTGGTGAGAGTCAAGCAAGTCAAGTCATTGCTCAGGTCAAGCAAGTCAAGTCATACAAAATTCTGATGAATAAGCCCAGTTTCCACATTTCCGCATCAGTTAAAAGACAGTGGTTATTAAAATGGATTCAACCCACACTATGATCTTCATTACATACACAGTTAATCATTTGAAATCTAATTTAGACCGATGACAATCATATTAGATTAATATTAACCCTAGAACTGCAGACAATATAGCTAGGACTCAAAAAGTCTGTTCAAAAAGGGAGAATTCCAGGTAAGAAAATCATATATGGCATTTTCCATTACACATATTTAATTGAAATGTCTGTTAACACTAGAACCGCCAACAGCGTCAGCACCTACATAGATATCATTTTCACATCATTTGATTTGTTCCTCTTCATAATTTCCTTATAAACTAAGTGGATTTAAAACTCACTTAATTGGGTTAATTTAGAAATTGCTTCAGTTTATCATCATAACAGATCAAAAAGTTCAGATTCATTTTTACAATAAATCAAGAAATTATGCACTTCTACAAACAACATAATTAAAACATTTAAACAAACTACTAAAAGTAGATGAACTACATTATTCAACCTATTACAGTAACTTCTGATAATAACACAGGGGAAATAAACGAGGCATCTCTTTCCCTCTCTCTCCTGACAGCCCGTCAGTATCAGGGTTAGTCTAAATGAATCCCTTGACGGTTCTAGTGTTCATTTACCGTTGTGTCTTCTCTTTGCAATGCTTAATCGATTTGAAACCAAGTCTAACGTAGCTTAAACTTAACGTTAGCTTTCTAGCTAACACAACACATGCACGCACCTTTCTCTGTGGGGTATTTTGTAGTGACGAATGAAGTTGGATGTTGTGGTGGTCTTGTCACTGATCTTTATGCTGCAGACCCTGCATACCGCTGTTCTCTTCTTATTACCGTCATCGAAAAAATAATCCTTGAATCCAAACTTGACTATTTGTGGAGTAACGCTCGCCGCTGCCATGTGAACTGACGCTCCTGCCTTCTAGTGGGTTGCCAGGTTTGCGCGCATGGCGCTATAATTACCCAATCACGTTTTTCGAAAAAACTAAACATAATATCTCACTACAAAAACAAACGCAAATATTTAATTTTAAACAGTCAAGTCCTTTCAATTCATCTGTCTCAAGCTCAAGTCAAGTCTCAAGTCATGAATACCAAGTCAAAGTCAAGTCAAGTCTTTTATCAATGTTAGTCAAGCAAGTCTCAAGTCAAAAAATATGTGACTCGAGTCAAGTCATGTGACTCGAGTCCTCACCTCTGCTACACACCAACCTGACACCAAAGAACACGTCCAAACGGACCCGACTGTTGTGTCGCCTCACGTCTCCTGCGTCTTGGCCAACAGTCACACTCTGGAACACACCGCAAAGACTTCAGCCGATGGCCAAGTAGCACGCACGCACTGCGCATGCGTGAGTGGCAATAACTCTCCTTACCAGCATATTCGTCATTCAAAAGAGGCAACAACCGGAAGACAGACTGCGTGATAACCGAGAGAAGAAGAACAGACTGCGTGATATAAACAAACAACAAATAGCGTGTCCGTTCCATTTTCACTCTACAGCGAGAAGCTCACGGGGCTTTCCCGAACCTGTGTCGAGAGCTGGAGTTAAATGAAATCTCAGATTTGCCTTCTTAATCATTTGTTTGGGTCCCTCACTTCCGTTTCGCTTCTCATGCACTGATTCGCTAGCTGAACAGCCAATCAGAGTGATTTCTTTAGCCGACAACCTTTTACCGACAGCCTACCGATTCAACATGTTGAATCAGCGGCAGAAGGTGTCGGCACCGCCGAAAAGACACGACGGGGCGGGACACACCAATCTGAGTAGGGCGACAGGACGCTCATCGACGGCCAGACATCTATCGACGGCCGAAATCGGCTTGGTGTGTCCGGACCTTAATAGTCACCTCAATATCATCATACACAATCAACACAAATATGTGTAAAATATTGACATTTTTATATGTTTTATACTACTAAAATAGCCTGGGTCAAATTGACCCCAAGGAACACCGATGCGTACAAAGTGCGTACAGGACATTTAAAAAAGATCTTCATGTTCATTTTATGTTTACCCATTAGTCCTCACTAAATTAGGAAAAGTCATGAAATACTAAGCAAAGAAAATAATGTGAACCATTTTTTTAGATACGCTAAACATTGAATGGGGATAACAGGAGGATTAACCTTGTTTACTGCAGAGAGAGTCCTTTATTTGAATCACAAAAAGTCCTTGTTACAATAAGTCTACACTAATAATGAATGGCCCATCAATGGTACTTTCTCATTCTGCGTTAAGATAGTGTCAGTGAATGTCGACACTTACTGAACAGATGTTTTATTTCAGAGAAAGAAATTGACAAAGCAGAATCAGAAACTATTATATATCCAGGGGAAGTTGGGTTTCATGAAGGTTGCTCCAATTCGGAGATCAAAGGTTTCCATGGTGATGTGCAGTAATCAGTGAGAGGGGAGCCTTTCCATTGTTCTGAATGAGAGATAAACCTCTTACATGTGAACGTTTTGTTGAAGAACCGTAACAGATATCGGTGAAATTTCAACGCGTGAAGCATCTCAAGGACCCTGAGCGTCTGAAATGTGCTTTTTGTGTACTTTCGGGTCAATAATGTGGCCTTTTTGGCAGATTTTTTGAAGTTTTTGTCACTTCATGCCCTCGAGGCATTTTGTTTAATATTTTTGCTTAATTGTTTGAATTTTTCAAGCTAAGAGATGTTTTCCTAAGTTTTTCATGAACAATTATGTATCAGGAGTGTAGGGTTTGGGAATTATGGCAGGTTTAAAAAAAATATATGAAGGCGAATTTCAAGCTGTCCCCCACTTTAGCCTTAACGAGCTGCGCAATACACACTAATGTTAAAATCTGAAGAAGGCCTCTTTACCAAGGTCTGAACAATGTTTAATATCTCTAAAAGTGTGCATCTGATTTAAAAGCTGTGTAAGACGAATAATGTCAGAAAGATGTGTAACATTTTAAAGTTGGAATGAGGTTTCTGAGTGAAAGTATGAAGGAACAGTTAGCAGTTGAAGTCGCATGAAGATGTTTCGAGTCTGAAGAGTTTCTCCATTGACTTCCATGTTAAGAATTTGATGAATTATGGGATATATCTCGGGAAATATGAAAGTTAGGAATGAGAAAAGTAATAGCAATCGATTCCCGATCGAGCTGAACGTTTTGATGTTTGAACGGAGTTTCTGCGATGTGGAATGTGGGAGCAGAAGAGGGACAACAAAACCTGGCTGAATAATAATAATAATAAAGAATTTGTGCTATCACCAGGACTGTGTGATATCTCCTAATACTAGGATTGGTTAAATGCAGGGACTAAATTACATTGTGTACATGTACATGAGCCGGTACTTTAAACAGGGTTTGATTTGAATTCTCCATTTCATAAAACACTCCACACGTCAGCTTAAATCAGGCAAATGTGTGTCATTTCCTGACCACGTGTCTTTGTCTTGCCATCAAGAACTGTGGTCCCAACGTCTTTTCACACAGTGACACTCTCAATTAAAAACACACTGAAAACGTGTTCTCTATTCTACTCGCCTACCTTTGTAGCTGGCGATGGAGGAGTCGTGTTCTCCTTCAGTAGTCCTACTAGTCCTGTTGTTCTTAATCTTTTAGGAGCTGACCGCTGCCCCTCTGTGTCTGTGACCCTTTGCCAAGCAGCATTCACACACTGCCAGACTCGGAAGATAATAAAAACAGCTAATCACAAGGAAAAAGAATGCCTGATGGTTTTGTTAATTAGATCTGTGAATGTCTGCTGAATAAAGAACAGTGAGCTGTCAATTAGAGAAGTGCCTTGGCAGATATTGCTCCGACCTTAACCTTGCCTCGGTGCGTGTCTTCCTTTACTCAGCCCGCTTCTTTTCCCAAGCCTAGGAAACGTTTCAAATCACAACTCTTTTTGCTCTGAGGTGTTTGTATTACTAATATTACTTATGCATATATTATTTTTACTGGCGCATGACACACACAGGTCCAACAAACCCACATGGAAGGCATAGTGCCACCAACCCACACACTGGGCCACTCACTCTGTCTAATGATACTGTGTAACACATGCAGTGTGGGAATCATTTAGAATAATGAATAAATGAGCTTCATCAAAGTGGAGGATAGCATATGATTAATTCTCAAGCGACACATTACTCAGTCATCTTTTCATAAAGCTATTTTACCATAATGCGTAGCTACCTGCCAAGTGGAAACTGCAAATACTAATTAAAATGTTTTTAAATGTCCCCTATCTGAATATGATTTAATTACAATGTAGGTATATTTCTTGATGGTAGTGAAAATACTAATCACATCATTATGTTTTGTTAAATTCTTTTTTTTTAGCTGACATTTTATCCAAAGCAACTTAATATGTGCAATACACT